ACTATTAAATTCACCCCCTTGGTTACTGTGAACCTTTAAAGGAGCGCCATAAACACCAATTCATGTGGCGAGAAAATATATCAATCATATGAAAACAACACAAACCTGGTGCAATCTCATGCAAATGCATTGCAACAGTGTCGTTTAAACCTGAAGCCATTGGTAGTCCTACTAATGGTCTTGGAGGGGCTTTTGTTCTTCTCCTGCACACGTCACATATTTCAGATACTTCTCCCCTGGGCAAGAAATTAATATAATAATGACTTTTTGTGCCTGCAATCATTTTATCTGGGTTCCCAAACATCTCAATAACATCATTACCCAAATCAATATTTGTTTTTGCTTCACTTATTAGGCATGTTTTATCAAGAAGAAGTGATAGATTTTTATTTATAACTTTACATGCAATGTTACAAGAAATATCAGTTATTTCAACTTGTATTATCACTGTGTACAATGCTTTAGCATTTTTTCCATCACCAAATACAAATGATGCCTCACTGTTCAAATATTCCATTTTCTTTCTCATGTGTGGGGTGAGCCTGTTGATATAATTAGATAACCATTTAGCACCATATACCGTCCTGCTACATGCAATGTCACTGATTGCACATCCGACATTATTGGCAACAAAGACATCAAAATCGAAATATTTTGCTATAAAATTTGAACTCACATCAGTTTTATCCACAGTAATTCTGGCCTTATCTTTGTGTGGGCAATCTCCAACCCAGTGAATACCTGAGAACCACAGATAACACATCTCGTAATTGTGCCATCTCTTCTTCTGGGGTTTGTGCCTCTTTCTCCGCTTCTTTTCCTCGGACAATTGCTTGGTGTTATTTTCTTCGATGTACTGCTTAGTTCTGCAACACAGTTTGCTTCGGTCTTCACAGTAATCACAGTATTAACTTTATTGAATGGACTTTGTAGTATTCTTCGTAAGGAAGCTTTAACGATGTCATATTCAAGTTCACTAGTTGCAGTCAATATGAGCTGACGTTCTTGTTAAGAAAGAGCAGCGTCTTCAAGTAGTTTGAAGCAAACTGTTTTTTTGTTTGTTACAAGAGTGCTTGTGCATATAGACAATAATAAACTTTAATTCTTGTTGTGGCTGAAGCTTGTCATCTAGTCTTTCAGTAAAAGATTCTCGAAAATCTCAGAAACCGTAAAAATTTCGTCTAACAAAGTACAGATTCAACTGATATAGAGCTGTCTTCTGTATTGGAGTCATTCCTTATTGACGATTGTGTATCTCTCATCCATTTCATTATGTATCAATTTCATTGCGGTATTAAATATTCACTAATATCCATTATTTTAAACAAAGCTGATGGACAACGTGCCCAGATATACATCGTGAACAGATATCACGCCACAAGGTAGACGAATTTTAACTTCGATGGCGTCATCGCACTCAAAAAATAAATAGAGGCCGCGATAGATATTCGGAACAATAAATATTACCCTGATTGAAAATTTAAACAAATATCAGTTTTATAAAATTTTAAACAATTTAATATATAACAATTTAATAAAAGAAAAAATAGAATGTCGAGGGCTGTCGATGTCCTGAGGCACCTGGGCTTCAGCCTATCTTGCCTAATGACAAACTCGGCTCAGTTTATTCAGGTTAGTAGTTTGCAATTACTCAACAACCATTGAAAAAACATTATGCATATATACAGCAGATTAGAACAAAATACCCAAATTTCAGGAAAGCAAAACTGCAAAACTTCGTGCAACTCCTTTGTTGCTTTGACGTATTTATTGTTTTTCTTTTCAAATAACATACTGTGTTTCCCATAAAATAAGACTGGGTCCTATTTCAATTTTCTTCCGCAAAATACCACGTTATATAATAACACGTTACACCTGTAAATAAAACGTTTTTATTCAAAATAAATGCTAAACATAGCTTATCAATCATTTAAAGCGTGTAGGAGAGACATTTTGCTATCGACTAGGGGAGGGCTTATAGTGAAATGATTTTTAAAATTCAGGCTAGGTATTATTCTCGGGGTAGGTCTTATTTTCGGGGAAACACGGTATATAGTTCGAATCTTTGTTATTATTTTCTGTTAGACTATTTTAAGGGTGCCGCTGCTCGATAACCTATATTGGTTTTTCGCGGTTCCCTTCGCCCTGAAACGCATTTTTCTTATTTATTGTAATTTTTTGTATATCCAGTGTGTTTTCAGTATGGTGAAAAAATAAATTAATGATCACTGATTATCAACACATTGAACGCTATCACCTACCTTAGGCAGTTATTGAACAATTTTGCAAGTACCGTTTTCACGCCATAATGTGAAAGTGTGTTCGTCTTCAGGGCGTGTTGCTTGCCAGTGGAATAATCCCATCTGCCGTTCGGAGTGTTGGGTGTGGAATTTAAACGAAAGCTTTGGCGCAGAGGCATTTTAAGTTAGCCATTGGATGTACATCTATTTCGATATGTGAGTTTGTGCCTGTGATTTTTTTCCATGCTGCGGATTAGAGATGTACCGATGTATCGGTATCGGTATCGGCCATTTTTTCGGTATCGGCCATGTATCGGTATCGGTTGGATCAAGGCCGATATTTCCGATATATTTACTTTTTTGATATGGTCTAGAATGTTTTAAAAGATAAGTTGAAATACTACTTTTTAATTTATTTTTTGTCCAGAGAGATCATGAGCTATGAGCCATACATGTCCCCACCCCCGCGAAGGAATAGGATTCACCTGTTTTTAGCTATTTTTCAGCCAAACTAGCTCAACTAATTTGGCTGATTTCGCTGTCAAATTTTTATATTGACATTTTTAATATTACATAATAATTATGAAGAAATATATATATCAACACAGCACATAACAAAAATCAACTAGGCGCCCAGTTTTAAATCATATACAGTGGAATTGGAGTCCTTGTTAACGCCACATGCACTTTGGGCACGGCTATAAATTCTGACTGTTAGTCGTCAAGTACGAGTGTTATTTAGTCCGTCGACATCGATAAACTAAATTCCGACACAATTATCCCTCTACGCAGGTATTAATTTTAGTTTTGTTTAACTACACAATTTCTTTATAGATATATTGACATGACCGCCTAGAGCCCTAGACTATCTCAAAATATATGATAGCAATTGTAAAATATATATTATAAAACAGTAAAGTAAAAAAAATTTCTCGACAGTTATAGGTAGGCCCTTTTTTGTCGGTGCTGATTGATATTCTTTCATGTTGGCTTTGATTTATTGCGGCGACGATTATGATCAACCACAAAATGAAATATTTGTAAAATGCTTTTAATTTGAACGTAGGGCGGCGGCGTTAGAATGTGTGGGCGATATTCGATATTCTTTTAAACACGAATACCGATATTCGAAGGTTGCGATATTAACTAACTTCGAATTGGTCATCCCGGCTTATGAGTTTTCTAATTGAACACCGAGATTACTAGCGTCACTGTCCAATGCATCTTAATCAGCATCTGGATACCAAACATCAATTTCATATTATGTGATATATCTATTTTTTCGATCTGAAATAATGTGTACTATGAACAACGCTCAAAGACCATTGTTTTCATCCTTCTGCCCTACACAGCACACCCAATTAAGTAATAATTACATAGTATCGGTATCGGAATATCGGTAATATCGGCATTTTTCTAGTATCGGCGTTTTAGCTGGTATCGGTATCGGCGTTTTAGCTGGTATCGGTATCGGCGACAAAAGTGGTATCGGTACATCTCTACAGTGCGGATTGGAATTTCCTTCTGTCGCCCGATAGGGCGCGTCAATCCTATGAGCAAAGATTATTATATCATATGGCCTATTATATCATATGGTATGTTTAGGAGAAAGTCCCTCTCTCGTTTCAGCTGTACCTGCATCGTAAGCTTTGGTATAACGTGATATCTGGCGTTGGTTCGCTTTAAAAATGAGTTCACTTGCTGGTGGCTGTAGTGTAGTCCAATGCTTTCATGAAGCGCGAGTATTCTCCCTCACCCTGCTGCCTTTATAGCTGTCTGGTGCAAGGCTGCAAGCAGGAGTTTTATAGTTACTGACTGCTATATCAGTTCTTTGCATTTTGTTTGTCCGTTTAGAGTTGTTTTGTTTTACACCAGAGCAGCAGAGTGACCAAAATAAAATTGATTGATTGATATGTGCTGACGTGAGTACCATACGTGGTAAGATGATAAAACTACTTACCGGTAGCTTAGATATACAGTCTGACAACTGGATAATAGCAGAATTCTGGAATAGAACTGAGTTTGGTTTTCTATTGGTTTGCATATTTATTGCAGTATTAGATTTTTGCTATTCGCACTATTTTATAGTCTAGGCCTGCTGCAAAATAATTATAGTTTAGGTTGGAATGAATTTTTATTGAGTTTGACTGTTTGAGGGCAATAATAATCATCAGTCACTAACTACAACGACAGAACTACTGTCAGACTGTAATAACAGCATATTCCATTATTCTGATATTGAAGACCTCTTTCAACTAGTTTTTTGAGTAATCTACTTGAGTTTTGGAAAACATTAAATCATAGGAATACTGTAATCTGGTAATACCAATGCTCTGCTGTCTGGCTTAATAGGAATTAACGATTAATTTCATGTTGTTGTATTGAAAATCTATATGCTGATATATTGATATAGATAGACTACTATATTATGCTTGATCATTTGTAAAATTTGATGTTGTTGTAACTTTCGTTTGATGGCATCCCCAAATGATGATTGGCATAACATACTGACTTTGTTTTTGCTTTATTGGACCTTCTGAAATCAGTGAAAACCCAGTGGTGTTACTCTGATTCGGGTCCATAGTTCGTATTGGCCACATTTATAGCAGTTATATCAATTGAATTTTCCTATATAAATTCTGGGATAACATAGCTATTTCCCAACTGCATAATTATAGCCTAATTATTTTCAAGTTCGTAGACCACCTTTTCCAATTATTGCAAACTGTTAATTGTGACAAATATAGTAATGGCTTTGTTTGTGCACCATGCAGGTCTTATATTTATCTTTGTTTTGTTATTTGTTGTGGAAGTTTTTCATAAAGAAAGTACATAGAAGATGGCACCTGTACTGTCTGTTTTTCTAAGAAGGTAGGAACGTTATATGTTGCAATTATTTTGTGGTTTACGAAAGATTTTTACTTGTTTTCTGAATCACTTTTCAGGTGTATGAGTTTTTTTATTGGGGTATTTTATCGACGACAAAGATACAGGTTTTGGGCAATATATTTATGGCTATGTATAATATTGAACCATATATTCGGCATGAGACAGTGCTGTGAAAAAGTTAGCAGGCTTGGATGAAAAATTTTATGTTTATCTGGCAGTTTATTATTGCCTGACACCCATTCTGAAACCACATTCGCCTAATTAATTAAAACGTTTAAGATAATATGGAGTCCATGAATGTATTTGATTTTTCTTCGATTTGATTAATAAGAAAATACTAATTGGTTGACTACTATTTTTACTCAGCATGGTAACAGGTTTTAGTCTGCAATAGGAATTAAATGTTTGTTTCTCCTTCCAAGATAAATATATAAAAAAATATTATTTGGATCTGCGATCACAAATATACAGATGGGAATTGCTGGTTGTTCCAAACGTTATTGCTTCACAGTTTGTAAAAATCTCCAGTATGTGTTTTCATACATAGCATGTATGTTGTTATGGTTTACTTAAAGCAGAGTCAATAGTACTGCAATTCTTATTACCAGGATGGATCTGTTGTGTGATATATGTTGCTGTTTACAAGTGAGATTTGACCTAATTTTTCCCATGGGGACAATGGTTGGATGTCATTGGATGTTGGTTGCATGTCATTGACATCATTAAGGTCGAAATTGTTTTCGTGTACAAATTACATTGCAGTAAATGTAATGTCCAAAATTTTCCATTGTACATATATATTATCAAATAACCTAAAGTATCCAATTTCAGCTTTTGTTCACATCACACATATTCTTTTGTGTCATGGTTTCCAAAATTGTGTTAACTATACAGAAAACAGTTTTCGCATCATTGGATATGGTTATATTAACTTATCAATATGATAAATGAACACGAATAATTTTCCATATTAAATAAACCATCATTACGCCCAACTGGACCGGTCCACTTTGTCAAAAAAATCATTTATTATAATAGTAAAATTTCATATTGAACCGGCGAAGCGTCATGACTCGGTACCCTCCTTCGTTTTAAACCAGTGAAATCATTCTCTCGAAAGTGATAGGTGACAATCCCCTCTTTCTCGACCAATGAAAATGGCTAAATTCGGCGAAGAGTAACTATTTGAGAGATTACGCAATGTTCCTATCGCTTTGGTTCTCTTTGTCTTCACGTGCGATTTCGCAATCTTTTTTAAATTTGGAAATAGTGACTACGTGCAGGAAAAAGTGCTTGGTCCGGTCTGCTTGAAATTGCGTAACGTTTTTCACCGTCGTCAGCATATTGTTGTACCCTCGCCCTATAATGTACACAGAATTGTCTGACAAAACAATGTAATAATGATAAACCAACCAAACAAATTGTTGACCAAAGCCGTTTGTTAGGCAATTAATCGTGTTTCATTTTGCTATGTCAAAAACTGAATATATATATACCCGGTATATATATATATCATGATAGGACGAGTCATTTTTTCATATACAACAATTTAGGCAAGTATTTCCAATACTACAAAATGCGATATTAGATATCAGAAATAAGCACTTCTTCATCACATCACTTTTACAAAGAGAATAATCTGTGTTGACTTGCTCACACAATTTAGGAAATAAATGATTATTGCCTCACATTCATCGCTGTCTCCACACCCCATTCATTGTGTGTTTCCAAATTGAAACAAGATAGCGATGCTTAAAGTATAAGATTGCTTGGTGCAAAGTCACAATTATTTACCATATGCAATTGCTTTTCGATTTCTCGGTTTGTACTCTTGGGCGTAGGTGAAAAAGCGCTGCATGAAATAGTATAATATTTGTAAAGCGAACAATTACGGAACAATTGCAACAGTTACGAATAAAGCACCATTTATTCAAACTAAAAGTATTTTTTCAATTTTAAATTTATTACGTTATTACAAAATGTTTCGTCAGAATGATTGGATTTTATTATGGTTTTTCTGCCCTCTTAATGATAGTTCTCATTTTCTTTTGTATTATGGTTTTGAACGCGTCCAAGTAATATTGTGAGATATTGTTATAAATATATTTCACGTTTCCGTAGTTTGATTTCGGAATCATTTTTTAATAAGTCGAAAATAACTAAGAAGCTTATACTGCGTTTAGCGCCTAGCCACACGCCCTCATCTGCCTTGAATGTAATGGATGAAAAGTGGGCAATATAAATCTGTGACTCCGATTGGCCGATTTGTTTGCGAAATCAAGACGGCGGCGGACTCGCCCCTTCGCCTCGAACTGAACCTTTCAATTAAAAGACGTATTCCCTTCTGTCGTATTTAGCCACTTACGGGTAATTGTGGCAATCTAACTACGTATAGATAAAAATAGTATTTCCTGTTCTTTTGATACTGTTCTTCGAAAACGCCACCCGAATATCATCACATGGATCTTTGTTCAAAGCCACGAGAAACAAGAGTGAAGCCGTAGGCCTGGTCCGTTACTCCGAACCCGGTTGAATTATAATAAAGTATTCACCTAGATGCAATATTTAAGACGTTATATGTAAATATATGTATGAAATTGGAACTTAATTATTCGGTTGGTTCAAGATCACGACGAAACTATTTTTGGTCGAATATTCAATTTGAGTTGTACTCACTCACACACACTTTTAATATATTTATTGAGTAGGACTTGTGAAAATATTGTGAAGTTTAACGTGCCTAAATTAGTTTCCACAAATCGTTCACAAATATGGTATACCATATCAATTTGCAATAATTTTTTTCCCAATTATTAAAAAAAAAATCGTTATTCATGAATATTTTCGGTTTTTCAACAAACTTTGACGTCCATCTGAATGAGGAGATCTCCATACCATAATTTATATTCTATAGTTTCAAATATCATTATTTGTTGTACAAAAACAAAAAGAATAGATTCTGCATGAATGTATGTTTGGAAAGCTATGCTTACGATAAAGTTATGCCATGAAGACCCCAGCAGAAATACTCTGCTGTTTACTCGTTGATGTTTTGTCAATGCAGAAGAATTTCATACCGCAACAACAATACGTGACCTTGCAGGTATATTGGACGTGCCGACAGTCGCGAACAATTTTCTGGATTCTTCGCACATTTTTTCGTCCAAAATTTGTTGTATCAAATGATGTATATTAACAAACTGATATTTTCTTCAATGTTGTATTAGGAAAAAGGTCATAAAAATATATATGGTATATTACAATAGTCTCTTTGTTTCTAACCAAATCAGCTATAGCTCGGATTTCCTAAGACTAGAAGCTGTCCTATATCTTATGAATTTATGATGTGCACTCACTTTCAGATTGAATTATCGTATGTAACTCGGCACGCGTCACGCAAAATCATTTATAAAACCTTTTAATTAAATCCTGGTAATTCTTTGCCGGAGATTATTTATGTCATGAAACCGCGATCACCATTAGCATTGTTCTTGTGAATGACCGGAGCCGTATTGCAAATGCCGGCCAAATGATTTTGATTTGTGTGTCCCATTTGACCAGAATATATTTTCAGTTGTTGTCATTGGCTACGGCTAACCAACCCCCTGAATTACTTGTTTCTGGTTCCTCTAGTTTTGTCCACCCAACGATGACGAGGCGTTAAAATTCAGACACGCCTTCTGCTCGACCAATCAGGAAGCTCTACGAGTTTACGTGCTGTTCCAAACTTGTTTATCGGCATGTCACGATTTTTTTTAACGAAGAAATGAAACTAATAATGAAATGCAATATTTTATTTATTTTTTATTGCATATTTCCTATATAACAAGCCCTGTGTTCCGTAATCTTGAGATATTGATTTGGTATTCGTTGGTCAGTTTTTCATCGTTTGGCGTGCTCAGTTATCAGTAAACATTATTCTGACGAAATAGTACTCCGTATAAAGCGTGTGCTATTAACAAAATTAGAAATATGGTGCGTTTATGTGCTCAGGAGAAGAATAGCAAGTATTTGTTTCAAAACACAGCGCTCTTGACTTGACCATCTTCTCATCAAGTATGTACATGACTTTGCGATCACCAGGCACACGCAATTCCATGGTGTAACAACGCCTATAATTCACGATATTGCCAGTGCAAGATTTTTGAAGCGATAGGTCAGCAAGGTGGTAGTAGTAGGGTAGATGGTAGACGTAAGCATATGTGAAGTTATTTTTTGTGTGATGGTGTGTCCCCGACACTGTGACAGTACTGATTGAAGAATGTTTGGGGCATGATTGCCTATAGTCGCTGAAAGTATTTTGATTATTTAATTATATTCACTTCATCGAAATAAAATATAGAAAATGCTATTTTACCAACGTAAATTTGCTATACATTTCCAAAATCTCAAAAAATGTGACGGCTTATTCATATCAAATAAATACTCCCTAATTTTTCTAATCGTGTAAAATATGAAAGTGTTATTACAGTAGACGCAAATCTGAACTGACATTTAAAAGCCAATTGACGTAACAGGAAGTTTTAATCATGATGACTGGCCTCCATAACATTACTGTAATAATAAAATATATAAGAATCACCGGGTCGTTGGTCATGAGTATAATACACCTGTGGTGTAAAATTGTTGGACTAGCGATGGCCGGCCAATGAGGAAACATGTCAATCAGAAGCCCGTTACAGCACGGTCAAATATAGTACTGACTGACATTTTTGCGTCATCGCATGCCCTTTAGTAGTTTTTTTGTGATAAAGCATATCATATTATGGTTCGTTTTGGGTTGTACTCAGCTTTACGTCTATGTTAAATCAAAGCCAATGTTTCATCGTTACATTTTTTGTATTACTTCATTACTTTACGAACATATGTTAGCTCCTTATATCTTTATAAATATACAACGAACTGAATAAAAATGTGTTAGGTTATCATCACACAATATGGCACCACCGCCAAAAAGAACCCATCTGCTTACAGACGAGGATCCGTAAGTGCAAATTTGTCACTATTGTGGGCGTCATAGCTTCCTGTCAATTACGCTTTTTTGTTACACCTGTTCACTGTGTTCAGTATTGTCTCGCAAAATATGACGTCACTTGAGGAAACCACAATAGTGCGTCCATGAGTACGTCCAGTAATTCAATACTGCTTATACTAAACTCGTTTATATTTGTAGTATATAAATATATACTACAAATATAAACGAGTTTATTACAAGCAGTATTACTCAAATTTGTGTGGATTTGAGGAAAGAAAAAATAACTTGGTAGCAAGTCACATTTTGGGCCATTTCAGAGAATAAATGGACGTAAATGGGAATGCATTATGTAGCAAGTCACATTTTGGGCCATTTCAGAGAATAAATGGACGTAAATGGGAATGCATTATACTCAGCTAAAGTTGATTTTTTTATATATTCATATTTTTCATTATTGTTGTCCATCTATGTCCTGTCCTATCATGACAATGTATATTGTCGCACAACCTGTAAAATCATGGGAATGGGGTCTCAAATGTTAACCACTCAATAGACGCAACGTTCATTATAACTGCACCTTCCGTGAGTTGAAATAAGTGGCCGTTCGCACTTTCCAATGATAATGTCAGATTGTGCCTAGTCAATAACTTCAGCTTGATCAATAACTTCATAAAAATGCTATGATGCAAAATGTAATTATTATGTCATTTCCTCGACTCAGTGCCAATGACAATCTTATTAATGACAAAATGCAGTTTGTTGATCAATAAACAAAAACGTGTTTCCATCATTGCCATATGCATTCCAATGTATATATATATCATTAGAGATCCATAACTGTTACTGTTTATATAGATAAAAACTGGGATGCCTATGTCATGTTTTCCATCAGGGGGCTTGATAGTCATGGTTTGACCCCTCCACTGACCAAAACTTGAAATCCAGATATTCAGCCAATGTTGAGGGTCTTAACATAAACAGCTAGTTCAAAGTACGGTACAATATTCACAATCTTTCAATTGTTTTTAAAAATTTCAATTTGTCTGGTGCTGTCTACTTGACAAATGTATTTACTACTCCGTGATCAAAGACAATATGAATGAGCATAAAACTGAGATCACAAATATACAACACATTATTTTTAATTTATTTTTCAGGCCTTGCAGTGCAGCGGTTCAAAAATTTTTTCATGCCAAAAATGCAGTCACAAAAACATTGATCAATGGAATTGTCCGGCATCAACATAGCCAAAATGCAACTAACGTTTCACAATTACCAGATCATGTACAGGTGAATTTCATCGAAATTTTGTTCATATATTACAGGGAATGTCGCTTGTTGGTTCTTAAATGTTATAGGTAGAATACTATCTGAGGAAAGATACTATCCTCGCCAAATAATGATTGTCTTTCATCATGCCAAAGAACAAAAACCAGTAAAAATGTGTGAAGTGTAATGCAATTGTATTTCAATTTCAAAAATATTGGAAGTACTGTCAATGATTTGCTGAAATTTATTATGTTGATTTTATATATTTTTATTACAGCAATATATTGATGAAAAAGCAAATTTATGCCAACCAGATAGTATCCATATTTGTGACGGTTCGAAAGAAGAAAGTGATATGTTTATGGAATCTTTAGAAAAAGATGGAATGGTCAAACGATTAACAAAATATGAAAATTGGTGAGTACTAGGGATGTCCGTATCCGAATACTAAACTATTCTAGAATGCTTCTGAAAAAACATTTCGAATATCGTTTAAACTAAATTACTAGAACCAAAATAATACTTCACAAGTGTTTCAGTAACTTTATTTCCCAACATAAGTGGGTGAAATGAACATGTGACATAGTCTGTCAAACTAAACTGATGCGAATCACTGGAGCATTCTCTAAGAAAGTTATTTCTCTGAATTAAAGAAAACATACTGTTGCCATCACAAGCTTCTAATCAGGGCTGGGAAGCTGATTCTTAATAACAGTGGCTTTGGCTACAGCTCCAGGGACCACAGTTCCTTTTTAGAGCTCTTGAAGTATATGCATGGCTCACAACCTGAACCCTAAACTGGTACACATAATAATGTTCATGTTGTGCGGCACAGTGCCGTACCGTATGACTGTACTAGTACCGTAGCCTACTGGCACAGATAAACTCCGATTCCATTAGGCTACCGGTACGGTACTGCTGCACTGCTTGCTATTCAATCAAACGACACCGTACCCATCTTTACCTTTAAAACTTCCACCGTGCGTTATGCAGTTATGATAAACATGCAATAAAAAACTAATCACTTCCATAACAGAGATACCGTACCGGTTGCCTGCACCGTCAACATCAGATTGTCGGCAATAATCGCACAAGTCTGGACATGCCCAGACATGCCCGTTTCGTCACGCTTGATAGAAAGCAGAGGTCACTATGGTTCACGCGACGGACGATTCAGCACTTACTAACGTACTTTGAAAAAAAAAATACCGAAAAAGATCGTGCGCGACGTCGCAAGTTTTATACATGTTAAATTACGATTAACCGAAATTGGAAAAAACTATTCGAATACAGCTCTAAACGAAAACGGAAACGATAAGGACATCCCTAGTGAGTACCATCTGTAAATTTTTTTGACCTTTCTTGGAACAAGGCACTGTATAAGCAAGCTTACATAATTTATCACTCCCGAGTCCTGAGTGAGGTTGTTTGACCTTAAAATTGTTGACTTGTGGCGCTAATAAAGTTGGGTCAAGCGCTCTAACCATTGCTGTCATGTCCATTTCGTATTCGGTAAATGGCTCTCTGTACAGGCAAACTCTAGTACACAAGTAGCTGAGATCTTCAAACTGCGGCCCATAAGATCGGGGTCATACAGTCATGCCCATAAGATCGGGGTCATACAGTCATGCCCATTTCAAATTAAATTGATATGTTGAGGTACAGAATAAACTCAGATTCCATAATGTAAAATTTGGAGACTCAGGTAAAGATATTCCCCAATCTGTACAACTCCAAAAGGAATGGTGTTCGATTCTTAGTTACACCATACTTGACTTATGCCCTATACAATTTTGTGTGTGCTTAGTTACTTGAGTGTCTTTGGTGTGTGGCCAATTCCACTTACAGTTTGTTCTGGTTTGTGAACAGTATTCATGTCTTTCACAAGTGCTCTACCATGGCCACGTAAAACTGAAAGACCAATTTGTAATTAGTAGTTTATTATTACCCATACATTGTATTATAACCAGGGCTGGGAATGGTTAACCGATTTCAGATGGTTAACGGTTACGATTTATTTTAACCGTTAACTGACATCTTAGGTACAAATCATCTTCATACCGTACGATTTCTTCAAATATCATTACCGGTACGGCGGTACGTCATCGCAAATTTATCTCTTGTGGCATTTAATTCAAAAGAATATCACTAACTGTGTGGGTAAGGACTCAATAAATGTGAAAAATAATGGAAGTACCAAGATTGCTGATTATGAAAATTTGACAATGATAAATTCAGAATCAGTTTTCGGTCGATTTTGAAATATATTGTTCACGATTTCATTGCAAAATCGGATATTCAATGTCATACAACAAGTGCGCAGTTGATGCCGTTTTTCTTTATATGATATATATCTCGAAGTAAAATTTGCACATCGAACACTGATAATTTGTCACATAAATGGACGTTTTACAACGGAATCAGGTTTCCAAAAATACTTCCACACCCTCGAATCACGCTGCCTATCTCTTGCAGCAGAGCAATCATGAAACTATCTCGATTTGTGAATAATTTTAATAAGCGATACTGGGATAAGAACACGGAAAATTGCTTTATAAGCATTGTGACGTAACAAGCTGAAATTATAAATTATTACGTCAAACGTCACGCGACGGTTAACCGGTTAATTTTACCCGTTAACGGTTAAAGTGTTTTCCCTGAAATTCCCAGCCCTAATTATATCACTTATTACAGTCACACAAAATTATAGAAATATGAGATGGAAATTTCTAAAAGATCTTTAAAAGTCAATTAGGATCATTTCAGCTTCAAATATGAATTATTTGTGTGAGAAAGTAGTTCTCTAAATAAGCTGAAAAAGATTCCTATTCCAACCATTCTGATAAATTATCTTTTTTTCTATCAGTTGGCTGGCAAGAACGGATCCCAAAGATGTTGCTAGAGTAGAAAGCAAGACTGTCATTTGTTCAAAAAATCGCAATGACACTCTCACAACACCAAAAGAAGGGGTCGCAGGTCAACTTGGATATTGGATGTCACCATCAGAATTAGAAAAAGCCGCTGCTGAAAGATTTCCCGGATGTATGAAAGGTAAGATTCTGCAACTAACTAACAGTTAATTTTTTTGTTTTGTGCAGAATGCACAAAGGAATTGTGAATAATCCTAATATTTTGTTGCTAGAAACATAATTAAGATGAATGTGGAGTTGTCTATTTACGGTATACTATAAATAGTCATTATCGATTATGTTCATGCCAGTGACGTCAAGACTTGGCTAGTTTTTCTTGTTATTTCTATATTCATATCTAGTGCTGAATAAAATTGCAAGCTATCTCAAATATTTTGAGAATTAGTGAAATTATGAATAAATTCCAGAATATTTTGTTAATCAACAATGTTTCAATAAAATAACAAGTGTTCTCTTTATATATATAAAGACTTTATTATTCAATATGTTTTTACTTTAATCGAATCCTTTTGATTACCCTTCTGTTTCGTACCTATGCATGAAATTGATATAATAAAGATCATATCAAGGACAACACTTTTATCTATGGCCATGCTCGGTTGCATTAGATCAAATTTTTTTTTGTGATGGCATGGAAGGAATTTTGTAACAAATATACATGTTTGTCCCCTATGTATCTCTAATTGATTATGACGAATTACAGGACATGACTTAAGATGGTTTTTTAAAGGTGACGCTTCCATTTCAATTCATCATATACGCTTTTGTTGAACTATTTATCTGAATTGTAAATCATACTGCTGTTTAGAAGATCTCATTCCTGAAATTATTGATAAATCCATTCAATTTCCGCAAAGCATCATTGAGAGCGATATATCCCTTGGCTTTTTGTAATCATGAGATGGTTTTTTTAATTGATTATCTGCTGGTTAATAAGGCATCCTCAGCTTGTGAAACCCATGATTTAGAAACCTGGCTGAGCAGAGCCTTTTTCAGAGCAAAAGACATATAAATGTGTTGTGTAACTTGTGTATATAAAAAGTTATTAGCTTTCAATGCATTACATCTAACAATGCTGACGTTAGATGTAAGACATCTTAAATTCAAACCCCTTGCCACACCATCTCTTTTTCGTGTCACTAATGGCATTTGAAATTTAATTCCTATTTTTCTTTTACAAACAGGTCGAACCATGTATGTCATTCCATTCAGTATGGGTCCCCTCGGTGGATCAATCTCCAAATATGGTATCCAGTTGACGGATTCGCAATATGTTTGTGCAAGTATGAGAATTATGACCAGAGTTACTCCACAAGTTTTAGATTACATAAATAGCGGAGAAGATTTTGTTAAATGCCTTCATAGCGTTGGTGCACCTCTACCTCTGAAACGTAAGGAGATTTATTTTGTTTTATTTTTTATGTTTTTTTGATTCCAGTTGATCGATTATCTGTCTGGTCAAAGCATTTCGATTAGTCTGTTTTGCATGGCCATGGGGTTCATAGCAGGGTCGCGTAAAACTATAGGAGTCATCGAGTCAGCGACACCTATTGGCTGTTATTTTAGAGGGGGAGGAGTAAAAAAAATTGTATTTATCTATCCAGTCGAAAAATATCATAAAAATAAGGTCAAACACATGAAACGAACAAAATCACAACATATCACATGGCACGTCAGCCGTATTATAATGAATATTACAAACATTCTCATTGTAATTTTTCCATACAACATACTTGTAGGCCTTTGCTGCTAACAAGGTTCTGTACTGAGTGAGGTGGTGGGCATGAGATTTGTCAATGAGAGTAACTGACAACCGATCATGTATCTAACAACTAATAGCAAATTTTTTTATCCTGTTTTTCAGGCGAACTCGTCAACAACTGGCCATGTAATCCAGATCAAGTTTTAGTTTCACATATTCCAGCACAAAACGAAATTATGTCGTATGGTTCAGGATATGGTGGAAATTCGTTGCTTGGAAAGAAATGTTTTGCACTTAGAATTGGATCGACCATTGCTAAACGAGAGGGATGGTTAGCAGAACACATGCTGGTTGGTAAAACTATTTATATAAAGATAATTGGCTGTTAGTATTGTTGCCTAAAAATGTCAAAAACATTTCAAATTAATGTTTAGAGAAAAAGATCTATTTTAAGTATTCAAATTTATTCCAACTAAAATGAATAGCTGGTAAACTATTCTCTTTCCTGAACATAGACCGGAAACTTGACTGTTCACCATATTAAGTCGTTTTATTAGCTCTTCTCTTCTTCGATATAAATACAAAAATTCCTATTTTATATCAAATTATACAGTGTATGATTTAGTACATATTGACGAATTTTACATCCCTGACCATATTTGAATCATTCATTTTGATGTTCAGATTCTTGGAATAACGAATCCAGAAGGTGTCAAGAAATATGTTGTTGCTGCTTTTCCAAGTGCTTGTGGTAAAACTAATCTTGCCATGATGCAGCCTTCTCTACCAGGATGGAAGGTATGTTCATAAAAATTATATAGAGATAGATCAAATCATATATTGGCTTGAATGTCAAATGTCTACCGTATTTTATGGACCACAAGGCACATCTGGTTATAAGATACATTGATTCATACATTAAGTTCACCGACGTATACGGCCCACAATCGATTTTTAAGAGAAAAGGGATTTAATGTGTGTCTTGTGGTCCGTAAAATACAGTAATTGATAGGGTTAAGGTTAATCGATGATTCCTCATTACACATACTACCAGACCCTATCGGTACGACCTTAGCTGCGCACTGGTTAGCAGAAAAGATTTGCATACATGCCTGATGGTATGTTGTGGAGAAGTGAACACAATACCGAATACATTATTTACATATTTAAACGATTGTAATTTTCCACGAAAATTTTTCACAGGTTGAATGTGTGGGTGACGATATCGCATGGATGAAATTTGATGAAGATGGGAGATTACGTGCCATCAATCCAGAAAACGGATTTTTTGGTGTTGCGCCGGGAACTTCGAATAAAACAAACCCCAACGCTATGAAGACATGTATGACAAATACAGGTACTGTCAATTTTCATAATGGGTTCTTCTTAGTCCAGGGCTGGGAAAGCTATTGCTTGTGAGCAGCATGCGGCCTTTTGATGAGATCATAAATAATGGTACCGTTATTTGGTATTATGGCATGGCCTTGATTACACGTCACTTTACTGATTCTTAGGTAATCATTAACACAATTGGGATTTTAAATCTATAAACTGTTCAGTGTTCAGCTGGTTGTAAATATAGAATAATGTGGTTTTATGAAATATGTTGTGTTATCACAGCACATTTGTTTTATTTTAGTTTAATATTCTCTTCAAAAAAGGCTTTAAACGAAAAACCACTTGTGTTGTTAGAGATTGAACCACAAGCATTTTGTGTCTAATTTATTGCATTCTGGACAGGGATTGGACTCTACATCAGTACAGCGATGTCAGAGCCTCTCATAGTTTTTATACGACACTTATTTCACTCCAAACAAGGTGCAGTACAAGCATCCAATGATATGTAAGACGCTTCTACTCTCAGAAAGAGTAAGCATTGCTAATTTAGTACTCCCTAGGTGAGGTGTTGGGCATGGGATTTGAGCAGAGATTCTGACCTACTGTGCTAACACAGTTGAGTGTAATGCTTTAACAACGAGGCCATCGGCCCCACCATTTTCTAATTTAGCAAGGAATTTGTCATTTTTTCTTCAATGTTAGTAAAAATACCCATAATTTTATTAAGTTTTTACCAATGTTGCTGAAACATCTGATGGAGGAGTTTACTGGGAAGGCATGGATGAAAAATTAGATGATGGTGTCCAAATTAAATCTTGGTTAAACGAGATATGGGAACCAGGTATTTTGATTTTTTTTCCACTTTTAACTTTTCATTGATATTAACAAATCTCAATCGAATAATTTTAAGAAAATGTGCTGTCAAAAATGAAACTCACTTGTTGTAACATGTAAAAATGTACTTTGCCGAATTTATTGACTTATGTACTTTTTTTCAAGAAATATTGTTATAAAATCTTTCAATTTCATTCAGGAAATCCCAAACCTGCTGCTCACCCCAACTCAAGGTTCTGTGCCCCAGCAGCACAATGCCCTGCCATGGATCCAAACTGGGAAAGTCCAGAAGGTGTCCCAATTGATGCCATCATTTTTGGAGGAAGGAGGCCAAAAGGTATGATTGATATATCAAATTCTTACGGTGTAATTGTGTGTTTAATTTAACGAAGTTTGAAAATAAAATTTTGAGAAATAAACTCTCGATATGTCATCAAGTGGTAATGTGTTTTGTAGCCGTCCCTCGGATTTCTCTTTTCCTTGTTAAAAAATAAATAATTATTTACTCTGGTGACAAGTCAAGTCAAGTTTATTTTTTCTAACCAGTAAATAAAAAACGTATATTGTAGCAGTCTTTGCCAAAAATGACAGTACTAGTTCATTAAGTTATGTCTGATTTCAGAACAAAAATATACCCTTTCCTTTTTATATCGTGTGAAAAATTACTACTGATTAAGGACTAGATTCGGAATTATTACATTTTTAGGTGTTCCTCTTGTGTATGAATCCTTTGATTGGGAACATGGAGTATTTATTGGAGCTGCAATGAGATCAGAAAGTACATCTGCTGCTGAGTTTAAAGGTAAGAGTATAATATTTTCTTGATATAAAGTATGATAGTTAAGAATAGGGATTGCATTCATAATACAAGACTTTGCCATTAAATGTGAACCATATCTGATATAGCAGAAGCAATACTATTTCTATCTCAAAAACAGCTCAAAACAAGAATAAATTCTATTTTGAGTGATTTAAGAGTTTTTCTGCACACATCAAATCTTGAACCGCTTCGAATAGTTATCTTTACTTTTCTACAGCAACCTTGCATAATATACATACGAATGTACCGGCGCAAAAGCATACAAGATGGATAAGTAGTCTCGCAGAAACACAATTTATTGTCATATAACACACTAATCAAGATTCTTGCATAGTATCTCATTCAAACCACAAATTTTTGCAGGGAAAGTAATAATGCACGATCCTTTTGCCATGCGACCATTCTTTGGCTACAACTTTGGACACTACCTCGATCATTGGTTGAGCATGGATAAGACCCCAGGAAGGGATATACCAAAAATTTTCCATGTCAATTGGTTCCGTAAGGTAAAATTGCTTTCAGCATACTTACTTCTATTTGTATCTTCCTGTGATCTTTTTAAACTCTAGTGCAGCGTTTCTTGTACTTTTTTCACATAAATAGGATGATCAGAATTGCTCTTTTTCTGTTAATCGTAATTATGATGCGACGACCAAGATAATTATAAAATATTCAAAATTAAGTTAGGGTAACTGAAATATTTAGATTCGGACATGCGTTGTGTACTGTGATAAAGCAGTATATGATAATGATTTTATTTCCACATACATATATTACGGTGGAGAAACAATAATATCTTGATTCTATTCAGGGTAACGATGGAAAATTCATGTGGCCTGGTTTCGGAGAAAACATCAGAGTTCTGGAATGGATTTTCGGTCGTGTCAGCGGCACGGAAGAAGCTCGTAAATCACCAATCGGATATCTTCCTACCGAAAACGGAATTGACCTCACTGACCTTGATGAACCTGTTGATATGAAAGGCCTGTTCGACCTTCCTAAAGATTTCTGGCAACAAGAAGTAGCGGAAATCAAAAAGTACTTTGACGAGCAAGTGAATAAAGACTTGCCACCAAAAATCTCAAATCAGCTTGAAGCTCTGAAAAAACGCATTGATTCCATGTAATTTTACAGATTATATCTTTGCACTTCAGCTTTTTGTAAAATAATCCTAGGTTGCTTGACCAAATATGTTTTCATTTCAGCAATATCAACAATTCATGTCATGTTTAAATCGAGATAAACCATGTGTAAAACCTAGCCATAATAAAGGACGCTCGCAGTGTGAACAAAATAATATATCCCCAAGCAGCTTTACTTGTTATTCCCTAACCATACCCCACCCTGTCCTTGTTCAAAATCTTTAATTCATCGCGATCAAATATGTACTACTATGTCATATATATATATTTCTATATATATTTTTCATTATGTGATTTCGCTTTTGTCATTTTTGTACAGTATTTAATGAGGTAGACTAGTGAATTATATCATGTTAATTTTTTTCTAATTTTGGTGTGTTTTGTTCTGTGCATTGGCAGACACTTATTTTGAATGCAGGAGCTAATGCCTCTAATTTCCAACATTTTAGGTGTCCAGTAATGTAGGTATTTGAAAGAAAAGAATTATTTCTTGCAGAACTTGCAGTAGTGTTGTCCCAATGCATTCTCACTCAATCTGCACTTTTGTTCTATATCTTTGAACTAACCAAACTAATTATGTTCGTTCAAGAACATGAACTTAATTACTATAATTGTAATGCAAGTTGTATCATAAATGTCTGTTTTTTTTTCGTTTTTCAAGCATAATTTATCATTGTGTTTCGTTACCGTGGTTGTTAAATGGCTCGATCATACATGTCCATACTCTAAAATGTGAAGAAAATTGTTTTGCGAATTTTATGTTGATTCGTGCAAAACCTTTTGATTTCTTGAATGTTTATGATGCGATGCATCATACTGCCATTTGTACGCACTGTTGAAGAGATTTTTCTACCTCCAAGGAACGTGTGCCTTGTGTAGGTTACTATATAAATAAAGTTGGATACAATTTATGATAAGTTTGTATGACTGTGATTATGGGCTTCAGATTATTTCGTTGCCATTATGCTTTTCTGCAATTACTAGATAGATAAACTGCAGATCAGTCTGATCAAGGAAAACCATTAAAACTCAAAATGCTTCAAATGCTGTACTACCGGTATTTGCCAGACAGATCATCAAGTACAGGAAGATAAACTCACAGAATCCAGGTTCTTTTGAAAAGTTCTAGGGAAATTTGCCGCAGAAAAATTCGCCGCATAGGAAAAATCGCCTTATTTAAAATAGATTCGTTTGTTTAAGAGCATACCCTAACCCTATAAAACTTATACTTGTTTTACAGCAAAATGCGATTGTTCCTATGCGGCGAGATTTCTTACGGCGATTTTCCCGGACATGATTTTGAACATATTTTAGAAAGAAAGTAACTTGCATGCAAAGCACCCCAGATTAATGAAGATCTTAGGTTTTCATATACTGTATATTTATATATTTTTTACTACGTCACTCATTGCACAAGGGTTTCTGGGACGTCTGCTGCATTTCATTGGGGTTGTGCTTCGCGGAAAAGGTTTATTCTAGGATATAACCAATTCGCTAGAAAGCAAAATTATTGTTTCCAAAATACACTGCCATCTTATGGTCACCAAACCGTCCACCTGAAAGAGCTGCAAGCCCTTTTGCAAATGTGAAGTCAAAACTATATTTATGTTCCCAAAACTGATTTACTTAAGTTATCTAAAGTTTGATAAAAGCTATATTTCCAATCAAAATCCATATCATACCAAAAATTGACTGCTATGGTGCCATTAGTTTGTGTAACATGGTGGAACCACATAGCAGGTAAATATAGAAGATCGCCAGCTTTCACACTAGCTGTCAAGGTTTTGCAGTTTTTATACATAGGATAAGTTTCAAGGTCTGGATTAAGAGGGTCTATGGCAATCCAAGGTACTGGTTGAGAATCCAACAAGTCTTTTATCGTCCACGTTTCCCCAACTTTCTGATATTTTGCAGGCGTATATTTTTTATGAGGAATGAATGGTCTATCACATGGCGGGTGTAGCGTGAATGTCTTTTCACCAGAAAGCACTGCGTATAAATTTTCATAATGATCTTTGTGCATTGAAGTTACGGCGTCTTTCTGAAGTAGGGCTTTGCCCCAAATGCATCAGTTGCCCAATTTATGTGGGATTCAATATCGCCGATAATCTCAGGGAAATCAGATGTCATGTTGGAATTCTGTTTTTGAATGTAAAATACATCACTCTCGTCTTCCCCTTCTTCAATACTATCTAAAAAGTCACAGAATTTCATTTCCATTTCTTCTGGCATAACAAATCTATCGCCATTTACCGCATCAGCATACCCGTTTGGTGTCACAGCCACAGTAACCACCTTTTCAGACATCGTTTCCCTAAAACAATTTAATATGATGAGCTATATCAGACAGACTTATATAGAGGGCTTTTTACGCAAATTGTTTGAAAGTAACTGGCCAATCTCACTTACGTGTGATCAAAGTGACTGTTATAAACACTTTGCGTATGATAAAGTAAGCTATTGAACAATTGGAGCGTGCTTTATGCGATGAATGTGCACTAAATGATGACCCAATAACGGTTGTTTGGCTACCTCCATAAATTAGATTAACAATTAAAATTTTGTGAATTTCATTTTATTATTCAAATTAAATTTGCAGTTATTGCCAAGAGCTACCTACAAATAATCGCTCACTTTACTCACCTAAAATACGCCGGTGACCACTTACCCAAGGCAGTCCAGTGGCATATGCCACCTTTCAATATAAATGGGGAATTTTTGGAGACATAATTTGAAAAAAATTCTGCTGCTGTTGGTGGATCCTTGATGATTGGTACATAATCATGTACATTCAAGTCATGTGCTTCCGAGATAGATTCAATCAAACATTTCTCTACTATATTCATGTTGATGTTTCAGACAAACCAAAGTATGACTATTCCTACATTGTAAATTATTCTAAAAATGATAGTAAATCTGATGAAACGATGATGCAAGTTTATATTTCTGATATTTTCAAATGAAACACGACAGAGATGCTGTTATTCAATATTTAAGAGTGATTTTAAAAATTTGTCATCTTGAGCATTTAACATTTGAGGGTCAGACGAAATATAAATGTTTAAATTTTGATGTTGCAAAGACAAGAACATTAATCCGTTGAACCCAAAACATTCTTCACTTCTAAATTCAATTTCACAAATTTATAGTGTTTATGTAATTTTCGTGTTGAACATAACCAGTTTTTCAGATTGAAAATGTTTCAGAATGAATTACTCAATTGTGGCTGTTCCTGGTTTAATAAAAAGTAACCATGATTAATTGTAATTCAACACTTAAAATTGGGTGCAGAGAAGAAATCTTAATACAAACTTCTACCGATATGTAGTACCAATCATCACATAGGTAATGTACAGATCAGGGCTGGGAAGGCTGAAATGCCAGTAATTTTAATGGCACCAGCTTTCAACAATCAAATTATTTTGTTCTCACTTATAATTTTCTAATACATCATACAATCTAAGGGTATTACAAATTTTTCTTCAGTAGTTAAATTGTAAATACTAATTAAGGTTTCATGTCACATTTTTAATTTTATAAGACTCGAAGCATGGCTTTGTGTTCTACTGCCGCGAAACTGCATTAGGGGCAATTTTTCATACTAATAGTCATACCAAAAACTTTGCCCTTAAGAGTCATTTCTTAGCTCCAAGTAAAATTATCTCCGAAACCCTGGTAGAATATATATTGTGATTTTGTTATGATTTCAAAGCAGCTTCCCAGCCCTGGCGCAGATAACAAGAGTTTGGAAGAAAAAATTGTGTGAGAGAAAGCAGGGAAAAATTAGACAGATAAACTAGCCCAATAAGATCACATTCAATTGGTTAAATTATTAATATTCAGAAAAAACTGGTGAAATACGAAATAATAATAGCACCGTATAAGCCTTATCTATAAACTGGTGTGTTTGAAAAATGCTCTGTAACTTTCCAAGATGTATTATAGACTTCTCCCAATACCTCAATGAATACCAACAATTTAGAAATATCATCAGCGAATTTTTATATCTAATGTGTGTTCTTGATACATTAGGATAATGATATCATGTTTGAGGCAATAGGGAAACAGTAACACCACAGGAATATCAAATTGTTATAATTGCATGATTGAGTTTCTTTTTTTTCTTCTTTGTTTTCTGGGAAAATTTTTCAGTAGCGTCGTCAAAAAACATGATCTCATTTTTGGCTTCGATTTGTCTTTTTAAATGATTAAGGGCAGCCATATTGAATCCGATGGTATCTTGTAGTTTTTTGACTCCCGATTCCGTATTTTCTTGCAGATGTTCTAATACAGGAACAAGAACATCGCTAGATGAGATTACTCCTTGATGTACTTTTAATAGATATAGTAAACATCTACATGACAGCTCTACTTCCCAACCATTCGAAACAAACTCGTTTAGAAGCTTGAGGAAATCTGGAACATATGAAAATGGTAAAACGAGAAGAGATTCTTCTAAATCCGCAGATTTTATTTTTTTCAAAATTTGTAGGACATATTTTTCCGATGATATATTACCATATGCTAACAATGTAGGATGTATTTGTGCTGTTGATGTCATATCGGGGGCAATTTGCGAACCTTTTTCTTTCTCCTCCCGATGTAACTCAATTGCTTCCATAATTTGTTCAGCTCCTTGAATTGTTTTTATTGTTGGTTTGCTTGCTCTTGTAGCCTCGTCGACTCCTTCTTCTGTACGTCCCGTTACACTAAGATTCTTAACCAATCTTTTTTCATCCTCTTCCTCTCTCTCTCTTTCATGTTCTTCATCCGGAATCACGATTTCACTTGAACGTGTCCAAAGTCTCAAAGAAACATCCGCACCACAAGATGCTATATAGTCACCTTGTGGGTCAGAAGTAATGCACCATACCGGCCCATGATGTCCTTGCAAAGTCTGAATGTGTATGAATTTATCACCATCCCATTGTTTTATACTTCCGTCTTTACCGGCTGTGAAAAGAAGATGAGTGTCTGGCACAAACTCCATGGATGTGATATTATCATCATGAGCAAAAATAGATTTGTGACAATCCCCAAAATCGAGACCCCAGAACTTTATATTTTTATCGGAGGATCCAGTGGCAATCAGTGAACTGTCACTAGTTATGCTCATGCAGGTTACTGGTAACGAATGACCGTACAAAGAAAGAAAAAACTTCAAGCTGTCGACGTAAAACACTTTTACTGAACAGTTCAATAATGCACATGCAATTAGTTTTCTGTTTTGTGAAAATTCCACAACATTTACCTCTTCATCTAGTTGCAAAGTGCGAGAATGTGTCGCAGTCAAACGTTTTGTACTGCTCGAAAAGTCTTCATCTAAAATAAGATCAAAATCCCAAAATTTAACCGACTGATCTTTGCTGCACGTCGCAAATCCACGTTTGTCCGCAAAAAGTGCTACATCGTTAATCACATTCGGATGAGCAGTTATTTTTTCGACACATCTTCCTGATGGGACATCATGTATTTCCAATTTTCCGTTCATCGTTCCAACTAGAAATTGCTTATCCCCGGGAACAAATTTACATACAGTAGCATGATCAGTTTCCGAAGTTTGAATACATTGTTGACTCACACGATTCCACATTTTTACGGAATTTGTGGAAGCAGTCAACACGGCTAACCCATCTGAACTGAAAGTCGCGCTTCTGCATGCACTCCGATGACCAGAAGAAAATAATTTTCCAATTGGAGTCAATTCAGGCAGTCTTAATTTGGCAGTGGCTTCTTGAATAATGAGCTGATTATTGTGAAGCAAAGTGACAATTTGATAACCATCACCTCCATCAATCTTAGTCACATCAACTGATTTCATTTTACCAGGAACTCTGAACTTTCCGATATGAACAAATTTATCCGATGCTTCAATATTTGGAATTGCTGTTTCCTCATCTTTGTTATCAGAGTCTTTCTTTTTCAACTTTTTAATTTTTTTCTTCATATGAGTCTTGATTTCATCTTCAGACCTGACTTTGAACAGTTCAATTGTTTTATTGTTACCATGACATACAATAAGCTTACCGTCAGGACTTAAACATAAAGATACTACTCGATCAGTTTCTTCACGTAGAAATGATCCAAATTTTGTGCAGACTACGCCATATCTTTGAGATGTTGTTTCATGTTCATCCTCAGAGTCCGAGTCAGTTTTTTGTCTTTTCTCAACAGGCTCAAAATTGTCATTTTCATTATTATATTGTACTTTCCAAACCCGCAAAGAACTGTCCGAGCTTCCTGTGATTAAAAACTCATTATCAGGGCTAAGTACAAAGTCCCAAACCTCAGCTCTATGTCCAACCATGGTCTTGAAGCAGTGTTGAGTATCTAAATCCCACCATTTAATAAAAGTGTCTTTTGAACTAGTTATAAGCATGTTTCGCTTACTTACAAAACAGCATGCAGTTATTTGCTCCTTGTGTCCATTAAGCTTATACAAGCCACATTCATTAACCAAATCCCAAACAATAATTTCTGAATCATTAGAACCAGATGCCAAACGCATTCCGTTAGAATCATACGCAACACATGAAACAGAAGAAGAATGACCACTGTAAGTAACAATTACTTCAGACGTCATAAGACTGAAAATTCGCAAAGATCCGTCACTGTATCCAACAGCTAAATGATGTCCGCTTGGACTTTTTGCAAGACAGGTTACAGAATACTTCTCTCCTTTTAACACCATGACTTTGCGATTCGTTTTCACATCCCATATGTTTACGTGTTCACATGAGCCGGCAGCAACATAACGAGTACTGGAATTCCTCATAGATAAAAACAAAACATTGCACCTTTGGCTTGCAACCACACCAAATTGACTAAATGGTAAATATCGAAGATATTGTTTGGACAATCCCATTTTAATTTAATTATCAACTGAAACCAAAAAAATGAAATAGTTCAGATATAGAAGCTCAAAAATCACAAACAATAATAAAGAATGAAAATATTATTAAAGCTAAAAATTAGACGAAAAATCCTTTTCCAAAAATTTATGAATTTCAACTCAATATTCAAAAAATGGCGAAATTTGTATTAGACGTTCTAAGAGAATTTGGAAAGAATCCAAAAAATTGAAATCTACTACCGAGACTTAATAAGCACATGACAGTATCATGGAATAATCAGTATGTGGATGCCATCATTCCATATATTAAATAAAGCATTCTAGAATAATTTCCAAACAACATATATTTATTCTTAAAAATAGATTGAACAAAGATAATTGCGAACTTTGTCGCAAGTAAATTCTCTGGATATCCTTAGAAGAATGCATTGTGAAAATAAACCATTTGCTCAGAATTTACCTATACAATAGTATCACATAGCAGAAGTGAAAAAATTATATATGGAATTTGAACAAAGGAACATGGTTATGTCAGACAGGTCTGATGTGATGACAATTTTATTAGTGTTCTCTAGTTTTATCTCCTTGTAGAGGAGGACCAATTAATTTCACAATATCATCATAATTTAATACTTCTTTACTTAAAAGTTCTTTTGATAATATATCTAATTTATCCCTATTGTTTTCAAGCAAGTCAGTAGCACGCTGATGAGCCCCGAACACAGTTTTTTTCACCTCATGGTCCATTGTAGTTTGTAAAGCATTACTATAAGGTCTCACGAATGACTCATCATCACTTGGATAAGATAGATGACCGATTGTCGGATTCATTCCATAATACTTAACTTGAGCATATGCCATATCAGTAGCTTTTTTCAAGTCATCTTGTGAGCCTTGTGTCGTAGTTCCAAACACTAAATTTTCAGCAGCCCTTCCAGCTAATATCATACTCATAATATCCAGTAATTGAGGCCTAGTTACTAGTTTTCTTTCAATCGGTAAAGTTTGGGTGTACCCGAGAGCAGATTTTGTTCTTGGAACAATGGAAATTTTAACTAAGGAATCTGTGTGCTTTGACAGCCATCCAACAAGAGCATGGCCAGCTTCATGAACAGCTACAATTTTCCTTTCTTCTGTAGAAAGGGAAGATGACTTTTTCGCTGATCCTGCTAACACCCGTTCAAATGCCTGTTCAAAGTGTTTAGTATCAATATAAATATCCTTATTCCTTGCAGCACATATAGCAGCTTCATTACAAACATTGGCAATATCTGCTCCACTCATTCCAGGAGAAAGATCTGATAGTCTTTCAGAATAGCTTGTAGAAGGTTTGAATAGTTTCAAATTTTTCATGTGCTGTTCAAAAATTCCTTTACGCTCTATTTTTGTAGGAAGATCAATTGAAATATGTCGGTCAAACCTACCGGGACGCAGTAATGCTTTGTCCAGCATATCAGCTCGATTCGTCGATGCCATTACTATCACATTGTGCCTGTCGCTAAGCATACCATCCATTTCTACCAATATTTGATTTAGTGTCTGATCTTTCTCAGATGAATTGGAACCCATAGATTCTTTTCCAGATCTTTTTGCTCCAACGGCATCCAACTCATCAATGTAAATTATACAGGGAGCTAAGGATCGTGCTTCCTTGAACAGTTCCCTAACCCTTCTAGCCCCAAATCCACCGATCAGTTCTACAAAATCAGAACCTGCTTTTGATAGGAAAGGAACATCAGCCTCAGAGGCAACAGCTTTTGCGAGAAGCGTTTTTCCGACTCCTGGAGGACCAGTTAAAAGAATGCCTCGTGGCATTTTTGCTCCTAATTTTTCATATTTTTCAGGCTCTTTCAAAAAATGAACAAATTCCATTACTTCTTGTTTTGCTTCTGTGCAACCAGAGACATCTCGGAATCTCACACCTGTAGCAACTGTTATTGCAGAACTTTTTGTTGTCATCATATTGGAAAGTCCGCCAGAACTCATTTTGCCTAAGGACTTGAACAATCGTGGGACAGCAAAAATAATTAATAAAACAAATACCAAAAAAGTACCGGTAAGCAAAGCCATGTAATTAATGTCCAAGTACACAAAAGAAATTTTATCTGTTGGACTTATTCCCAAATTTTTCTCTGCACTGCGCACCAAACTTTCAAATTCACTCGCACTTTTAATATTCACAACTTTCATAATTGGAGTGACAACTTTGCTGCCTTGATACATGGCATCATTGCGAAGAAAAACTGTCGCAGAATGATTATCAGCCTCTTGATTGATTATTATTCTTTTAACTTCTCCTGATGGAAGCACTTCTTCAAGGAATTCTTTAATGCTTATGTGGCGGGGATTTGGTGAATTTGAACCATTGAAGGCTATAATACCAGAGATGAATATTGCTGCACTGGTGAGCCAAAGGATTCGCTTGAATTTTTCATGTGGTGGCTTTTCCCCATTGTCGTTAGTACTATTAGAATTTGTTTGAATTCCATGCTTGGAATAATACAAAACAATTTTTTTAAAGTTTGGTTCAAGTATAAATACCTGCCGGTTTGTTAAAGGCAGTTTATAGCAGCATTTCTCAATCTCATGTGTGTTAGCTCCAAGAATTCTCCTATGTGCTAACAAAAGTATCTTGTCCAATTTTGGAAACAGGCACGCTGTTCTCCACATGAAGCTGCTGAATAACATTTATTTCCACAAAAAAGATGACTTATGTATAGTCAAAACTAAGTCTGCAAAAAGAAGTTGTGATGGAGTGAAAAATAATGAAAATTTCAAAATCAAATGGGTACCGGTATATATATAATTATATTAAGACTTCATGTGCCGATATGGTGATGGATGAAACCACCGACTCGCCAGCTAGGGCCATGCATCCCAACATCATAGGAAATTGGATGATTAATTGGTAAGGCACCTATTCATATAACACTGACCCATATAATATTTCAAATTGATTAGTTAAATCGAAAAATAAACCTATATCGCAATGCAATTATGATTTTGTCAACCTCCAATTGCTAATATTCTATGTACTCCAACAGCCAATTACAAACTGACCATTCTGCCATTAGTTGCATCACATGGCAACTTTCTTTCAGGATGATGTAGTCATATGGAGGTAAAGAATGAGGAATGACATAAGCAAAAAATATTGATCCAAGTCCATTAGAAGTACTTGTGGCTCTATACTATACCACTACTGCATTAATACAGTAATACCAGACCCAACTCTTCGACCAACTATTCATCCCAGACGTTTCACCCCACATACTTTTTCGACCCCTATGACTTGTTTTACATTCTCCCTGTGAGTTGTTATAAAACACTAAAAGTTATAATATATAAAGACATGTATTTTTGGCATAGTTATGGTTGCAGTGGAGGTTATCTCATCGGTATATGTAGATACTCTGGTGAATAAATATCCGTACAGTATATAAATTTACAAATATTTGGGTATCTATAGATTATTATTTCTGAACAACTCTCAAGTCAAAGTTATAACTCGAACCATCATATGCCCTCCAGTCAGAATGGCCAAAAATCTGTGGCAAAACATCTGGGTCTCGTGTAGTTTCGTACCTAACCTACTTCTAGTGGACGTGGCATAACAATTTTTTGATATGTCAATCCTAACCCCCATCCGACTACACCATCCAAAAATTACATCACCACAATCACGTCATAGAGCTTGTCGAACATACATACGATCGCCCGAAACGGCATCGGCGCCGACGATAAGAAACTGACTAACGTCATCGATTAATCTCCTATCGGGATCATTGCGACGAGAAAACGAGAGAAATAGCTGTTCGATTTCGGGTGCTCATCTTGGATGGCAGTTCGTATAGTTTGAAGAGCTCTATTACGTCACTGTGACCTCGTAGTGACGTACCGTAATCTTTGGATGGCGTAGTCACTGAGTCAGGTGGGGGTTAGGATTGACACATGAAAAATTTTTCATGCTACGTCCCCTAGAAGTATGTTGGGTACAAAACTACATGAAACCCAAACATCTGTGAGCGGAAAGTCAATAAACCCTATAGTCCGATAAGTTTAAGTTTATTTCAACTCCATAATCCTGTAATCAGCATAACAGATAGTTGATACCAGTAGTTGATACAAAAACAAATAAATAAACAAACAAATAAATGAATGTCCATGCTATAAACAGATAGGTACCGGTACCCGGTATACATTCGGACATTATACTGTTAAATGACACAAGTTAACTAAACGCCATTCCATTTTGAAATGATACGGTCAGACAGGACCGTATGGCGGCCGGCGGGTATCAGGTACCTGAAGTACGGTACACGACGCAAGTAGGCTACCGTACTCCTCGTTGGCCTGGCTCAACAATTTTTCCTTATGTCATTTCCAAACCCCACCTGAATACGCCATCCAAAAAATCACTCAGTCACTGCGAAGTCGCAGGTGAGGGTTAGACGTGAAAATCGTTAGGCGTTTAAATAGGACAGGATAGGATAGACATATTTATCCCGGGGGAGAGGAAAGCGACAAGACGGCTCAATCATATGGCGAACCACGGCCTCTCGTACGGTTACCATTCCAGGTCGGCTATGGAATTAGTTATACAGTTATTTGTTTTCGGAAGCATGGACTTGGTGGTGGAGGAAGCCGTAACCGACCAGCGGTTACGTGAACCACCCAACGACGGCGAGGAGTCCAGCAATCCTTTCGCACATACGGTACCGGTACGAAACCGGTACAGCAATACCGGTAACCATCCCTGCGAACCCACGCAGAGGTGCGGTGGCGAGCGTATTCCTAACACTTAGGCCGTTGAGCCCCACCGCCGCGCCAGTATCCAGTTAGTAACATTTATTCGTGCCATATTTTACTTTGGATTCAATCCAAATTTCTTCAGATTCAAGCTGAATAAAAATCCTCTAGCATTTTGCCTGTACCGGCACCCCGTTTGCAAAGAAATGACCATGCATCGAATTGATGGATGCTTTGGAGACCCTTGACCTCTAAAAATTGCCAGGGTCCGGTCATTCTGAAAAATATATTTTAACCCTTTCGTTCATGACTTTTTCGCTTACAACGAAAAAATAATTTTTGTATTGGAATGAAGTATTTACGATGTCAATAGCATATATACTGAAAATGATGACGTATTGATCATCGTGTTCTTTGACGTTGTTCCGGAACAACATCATAAAAGGAAGGTGATGAGTGAATTTTTTGAAACCCCCATTACTGCAATGAAACTATACTAATAATGAACACTAACCTTGATTGACTTTACAACGAAATGGACTATATGTTCCTGAGTCCCGAAAAAAACGCTCTATTTTACAGTTTATGTAAAAACATTTCAGACCAATTATTTCTCTTTTCCGATGATAAATAATGTGCTATACTTGTCCACACAGCGAGCAAAATCCGCTTCTACAGATTTTTTTTATGGATAGAAAATGTCCAAATATATTTATATCGCTAGATTGAGATATATTGGGTAGTCTGGATAAGATGGAGACATTGATGACGATTGTCGTACTAGTTCTTTTATAGGTGGCGATTTTGCAATAAGAGACTCAAATGTACACCGATTCTTCTAATGATTACCCGCACTAGCACGCAGTTCAAAATCGATGCATGGACGACAGCATATCAAAAAATCTACACCTCCGGTGTTTGCTATACTCTCCAAACATCGTCCATGTAATTATTTTCAGATACTGATCTTTACTGTGACACACATATATATATACAGTATATATGTGTGTTAAACTGGGCTCATGTGAAACTATTGGATATACGCGCCAATATACGAATTCTTCTCTTAGGTGCCTCACAGATTTATCATAATTCCAGAAACATTTGTTCGCAATTAGAGCAGGGCATTTTTAAATACCTATATAGTGGTTTCAGAATTGAATCGAATATTTTTCGGATCAAATATCGAATACTTAGAAAGATTGGTAATGGAATGCGATTTTTTTTATTGCATCACCTAAAACCAACTCCCAAAACATGCACTTCAGCATTCAGACAGTTGGTTTTGTGTTCACACAGAATACGAAACATGTTTCATCAATAAATCACTCGCAATGACCGACCTAGATCTTCAGTGAACAAAAAAATATGGCGTCTGAACGATTCCAAAAATTTACTATTTGATTTAAAATGCGCAACCCTATTCCAATTTCGCAAAGTTAAAAATCAAGTGCATAGCACGATTTATCATCCCTTTAATATATATTTTAATTCAACTTGGAGTGTTCTGCAAGATGAGACTTTAAATTATCATCAAAAGAATCTGTAAAATAGCGGATTGGGAAGGGCCATTTCTAAAGTTGCGTGTAACATATAATCAGGAGAGTGTCTAGGTGGGGGCAATAGGGGCAGCCGCCCCGGGAGGCACGATTTATAGGAGAGTTTGTTGCTTAGTTAGATGATTTAAATAATATTAATAATACAAATATTTCGGCCTTAATTGATCATGGATTGATTCATACTCATTTATAACAACATCTACAAGTTGTTTATCCTTCTTATTATTTTTGAAGTTAGGTATGAGGGGCATTACAATGATAAACTCGCTACGTGTAGCAAAAAAAATTGGCAGGTCCCTGCATGTAACGCAAGATTTTCTCTCTGGCGCATTCGAATTCCAGCATGTATTTTGGTATAATGTTTCCAATACCTTTTTAATTCCAAGCAGTAAGTGGGTAAATGGATGTAGGCCTGTTGTTTCTGCAATTCAGTTGTTTGAATAAACTGCTGTAGGCAATCCTCTATGAATTGTACGACCTCTTAGCGGAATACCGAAAATAAAATATTTCCCCAAAATTAATACTGCTAAATATTGCCATCCCATAATACATGATGTTGTTTTTCAACAACATTTACACATAAGGCAACTACTCAATTGCCAAAGCAATGCAAAGCAAACGATTCCATCAATGTTCCAAAACTATAGGTACCAACCACAGCCATTTTTTTTATGTTCATCCATAATTAGTTTTTCGTACGAAATTTTGTCTTCAAACATGCTCAATTTCCTATCTGCATTGAAATTTTTTTTAACCTACTTGTTTCTAAACAATCTTAAACTATGGAGGTTCACAAAATGCGCGTTCATGTTTTTCTTCTCTTTCGTCATGATAAAATGGATTTTCTCTTTGAATACTGGACCAATTGCTTTGAAATTTTCAGTGTTTAAAGATTGATTTTTCTCGCCAGAAGGCTATTACTTTTACTTATTTCAAAAACTTTTGTGGACTTCAAAAATTCGTTTTTTAGGTGTAAATAGAAAATAGCGACACCTTGTGACGTGTAGGCCTACATATATATATATATTTTTTTTAATTCTAGTTCGTATAAACTATAAAGTATTGCCATGATCTTTTTTTGATCAGTGTCTCACATTTTATAATTGATTTGAAAGGTGTTGCCCGATTTTGCATCGTGTCTTTATTTTATTATGTTCATTTGACTGCTTTTGGTGGACGGGCACGTAGCCTACTTGTACGTTTTTAACTTTTTATTAAGTTAAGCCCGTCTTCCAGGTCCTCTGCATTTTGTTTGTCCGTTTATTGTTGTTTTGTTTCTTTTAGAGTGACCAAAATAAAAATGATTGATTGATATTATGTATGAGAAATATGGGTTAGTATTTAGTGGTATTCTTACGCTCATGCTATTGCACTTATCTGCAATTGAAACTGCTCATCAAACTGATGTTGGAGAACTTCATTGAGTTTTTCAACTCATTTTTTTAATTATGAAGATTTTTTGAGGTTAACGAGGCAATGGAGAGATTATGAAGAATGTTATTGTTACCAAGGCTATGATTCACTGAAGAAGCGTGTTCTGAAGGCAAATTATCAGGCAGGACTTCATCACTGTTGGCTAGAACCAAGGCCAAATATTCTCCCACTTATTGACCATGGATGGTGTTTTGCGGAGTGAATTGATGGATCTACTTCCAGCCCCCAAATCAGTTTTTGAAACTGCAAGTGTGCCAAAACAACCTAAATTGCAAATTGATTTTTGTATCTACTGCAAAAACCACACTACATTTATAGAGAAAAAGTCGATTTTCGAGGATGGGGATTTCGGAAGTAATTCAGAAGAAAATTATTGAATATTGAGGTTAATTTAATAAATATTATTATTTTTTTTTTCAGACATCTGTTAGTGTCGAAGGTCCTATTTCTATAAATAATATTGCCTTTGTTTCAAATACACAACCACCAAAACTAAAAATAAAATATGTTATGTAGGCCTACATACTGTATTCATTTTGATTTTCTGGACTTTTCCGGTATGTTTCTCTGAGAATAACCGATTTATTTGTGGTTGTATGCTCACGATGTTAATTTATACGTTTGATACCTTCTATAAAATAAATGCACCTTCTTATGCTGTTCTTTGTTGTAAACTGCTTGTCTGAGGAAGTCTGATTTTGGTCAGACAAAACGTTACAGAAATACATTTGTGTTAGTGTGCAGCATGGCTCTTGAATTGCATAGTTTTATGCTGAGTTGTTGTAAACCAATTGATTTTCTGGGAACCCCCTTATATTCAATTTTGCATCAGGATTGTGGAACAAGCGGTACTGCCTTCAATATGTTCATTTTCATACAAAACTAAAGAATTTATTTAGTTACCAGATTGGCGCTACGAAATTTATTTTCTGGGCGTTTTTCAAAGCCTCGTCTCACGGATTTACAAGTGTTTAATAACTCACTTATACTTTTTAACACCGTCATATTATAACTTAACTAAAAAAGACGATGGAAAGGCTACAAATTGAAATTCATCCGCCCGCGAACAGCTGATCAAATTTTAGTTGATACGTCACACAGAAGTCTGCGTTCATTGGCCAATGTTGCCGGAAAAGTAGATTCAGATTCAGATATTTATTTCGTCATGCAAGAATCAATAAATCAAAAGAAAAACATAGCAAACTGAAAAACGGGAAACATCGATTCATAGCAGTTGGCGTGGGATCGCGAAAGACTCAGTGAGTCATCCAGTCAGCGATACCACATGCTGTAATATAGCAGAAATATAGCAATGAAGCAATCTGATAAAAATAACTATAAATTACACAATCATGGGAAAACAACACAACAATGAATTTGAAATAAATTAGACAACAGGAACAACCATTATGATTCATCCAGAATATATAGCTTATCAGCGACATTTGGTGGTTCATATACGCATCACTGAATACAAAACAACAAAAAAACAGTACGCAGCGTGCCAAGCAACGGAGTAGTTACCGGTACCTAGAAATAAGTTTTTACTAAAGTAGACGACTTCACCGGCACAAAAATGGAATACCATTAGGCAGTATGCAAATTACAAGTGAAAAGTGGGACATGACATGTCATGATAAGTGAGCATGTTAGGTCAAAGGTCACTTAAGATGACCTTCACGCTAGTGATGTTCTCTGTAGACATGCCGTGTACTGGTGTATTCTGTGTTTGTGTTGGACTGTGTTGGTTGTATGTTAATCTGACTGTTTCTGTTGACTGAGGAGTCATCCGTAATAAATGCTTGCTGAATAATATATAAAGCCTCTTATATATGCCTTATGTGTTTGGCTTGACATCACATGACATGGTGTCAGAAGTGAAAAGTTCTCAGAAAGCCGAGAAAATCTAACGTTGCATAGCGTCAGATTTGACAGGACATTTTCACATTCACGTTTATTGTGCTTCGCCAACACAAGATTGTGTTATTGAAGATTGTAAAAAGCTTCCCTGATAAATAACTGTTCAACATGGATCATTTCAATGCACCTGGTAATCTTGATATTCACCAAGGTAATTTAGCTGAAAACAGGCGACGATTTAAGCAGAGTTTTGACATATATTTGATTGCTGCAGAGAAGGACAACAAACCTGATGCTGCCAAAGTTGCCATGTTATTAAATTTTGCTGGTGAAGATGCTTTGGAACTATATGAAAATTTTACCTATGCTGAAGATGATGATAAACAGAACCTGAATAAAGTGGTTGAACAATTTGAAAACTATTTAAATCCACAAAAAAGTATATTGTTTGAAAGATTTAAATTCTGGGAATACAAGCAAGAAAAGACTGAAACTGTTGATGAATATGCAACAAGATTGAGAACACAAGTCAAACAATGCCAATTTGTAGCACCACAGAATATGGTGAGAGATAAATTTGTGCTTGGTTTAAGTGACAATTCTGTCAAAGAAAGATTGTTGAGAGAAAAAGATCCAACAATCACAAAGCTCTTGAAATAGCACGCACAATAGAAACTTCAAAAAAGCAAATCGATGCAATGAAAAATACTTCGAATGCATGCGATACAAATATGTTCAAGAAAGAAGAAAATTCAGAGATCAACAATCTGCAGAAATCAAAAAATATAAAAAAGCAGACACAGAAGTCAAGATCTTATGGAAAAAGAACATGTCAGTACTGTGGAAGATTTCATGCTCCAAGATCATGTCCAGCATTTGGCAAAAGATGCAACTATTGCAAGAAAATAGGACATTTTGAGTCTGTATGCAGACTAAGTCAAGGAGGCCTGGTCAAAATAAAGATGTTGGTACCTTACAAAGACATGCAAAGACTGACAGAGATGATAATAGTGAAGACAGAACACCAACATTGTACTGCCTGAATGATGTAAATTCATTAAATAATAAAGATAATTGGCATGTTGATGTCAAAATTCTAGACAAATCAGTCAATTTCAAAATTGACACTGGTGCTGATTGCAATGTTATATCTGAGAAAAATTTTTTATGAGTTGAAAGTCAAAAATTTGAAAATACATCCTACAAGCATAATATTGAAAATGTTTGATGGCAGAAAAATCAAACCTAAATGTAAAATATGTGTACCTTGTGAACACAAAGGCTTCACAAAACATATTGATATAATGATAGTCAAACAGGATGTACCATCAGTACTTGGTTTGAATGCATGTATAAGTTTGAATCTTATAAAGAGAATTGATAATTTACAAAATTGTAATAAGGTTGAAGATGCATTCTCTGATATTTTTGATGACCTGGGAGTCATTGACAATTTTGTTCATAAAATTCAGCTTAAAACTGATGTAAAACCCATAATAAATCCACCTCGCAGAGTACCTGTTGCTCTAAGAGAGTTGCTCAAAGCTGAATTGAATCGTTTGGAAGATTTGAATGTTATTGAAAAAATTACTGAACCTACAGAATGGGTCAATAGTCTAGTAATTGTAAAAAAGAAGTATAATGCTTTACGAATTTGCCTCGATCCTTTGCATTTGAATCGTGCTATAAAACGGGAACATTTTCCAATGCAAACTATTGAAGATATTATGACTAGAATGTCTAATGCCAAATATTTTTCTGTACTTGATGCTAATCATGGTTTCTGGCAAATTAAGTTAGATGATGACAGTGCTTAACACAATTTTTGGGAGATATTTTTTCAAACGACTACCCATGGGTATTTCTAGTTCTAGTGAAGTTTTTCAGAGAATTATGACCCAAATATTTGAAAATATTGAAGGTGTTGAAGTAATTATTGATGATATACTAGTGTGGGGCAGTACACTAGAGGAACATGACCAACGGTTGTCTATTGTTCTTGAAAAGATCAGACAAAGCAATTTGAAATTGAATCGTGATAAATGTAAATTTCGTTTGACTGAAGTTAGTTACATTGGTCATTTACTTACTTCTGAGGGTATAAAGCCAGATCCCAAAAAACTAAAAGCTATTTCGGCCATGCCTATCCCTTGTAATGTGAAAGAATTGCAATGATTTTGGGGTAAGTGTACTTATTTGTCGAAATTTATAAAAAATCTGTCCAATGTTGCTTCACCTTTAAGACAATTGTTAGAAAAAGATATTGAATGGTTCTGGGGTCCTGAGCAAAACAGTGCTTTTGAGAAATTGAAATATGCCATTTCTAATGCTCCTGTGCTAAAATATTTCAATGTTAATGAACCTGTGATTTTATCTGTTGATGCGAGCTCAAAAAGAGTTGGGGCATGTTTAATTCAAAATGGTCGACCAGTGGCATATGCGTCTAAATCGCTTACAAAATGTCAGCAAAATTTCGCGCAAATCGAAAAAGAAATGTATGCAATTGTTTTTGGGTGTGAACGCTTTCATGACTATCTGTTTGGCCAAGTTCACATCACTGTTCAATCTGACCATAAGCCACTTGAGACAATATTGAAAAAACCATTACATTGTGCTCCGATGCGTTTACAACGCATGATTCTAAGAATACAATCTTACCCGCTGGATGTTAAATATAAAGCTGGTAAAGAACTTTATATTGCTGATGCTTTAAGTCGAGCATATGATTCCTCAGAGTATTCATCTGAGAAGGAAGAAGAACTATATGATGTCAATCTTCTTGAATATGAAGATATGAAAGAATGATTCACAAATGCAATCATTGTATAAAACTGTCCAAAAAGGCTGGCAAGTGAAAAGGTCACAAGTATCTCACGACGTAGTCGAATATTGGAATTATCGAGATGAGATAACGGTCTGTGAGAATTTACTTCTCAAAGGAGAGCGTATAATAATTCCAACAAAACTGAGACCGAATATATTGAAGAGAGTTCATATTGCTCATTTTGGAATCGAAAAGACAAAGTCACGAGCAAGAGAATCTCTTTTGGCCAAATATCAATGCTGATATAGAAGATTATGTTTCCAAGTGTAAAACATGCTTGGAACATAGAAGAAGTAATCAAAAAGAACCTTTGATTCCACATGAGATTCCAAACATGCCTTGGTCTACAGTTGCCTCAGATATATTTTACTACAAAGGAAAAGATTATCTGTTGGTTGTTGACTACTTTTCAAAATATCCAGAAATTGCGAGATTGCAGAACAAGACAAGTTATTCTGTAATATCAGCTATGAAAAAAATCTTTGCTCGTCATGGCATACCGGAAAAAATTGTAGCTGACAATATGCCATTTAACAGTTCAAATTTTTTGAAATTCTGCAGAGATTGGGAAATACAAATTGTAACTTCAAGTCCAAATTATCCAAGAAGCAATGGTCTTGCTGAGAGATTTGTACAGTCTATCAAGAATTTGCTGAAAAAGGCTGATGATTCTAATAGAGATATTTATCTGTCGTTACTTGAATTTCGTAATACTCCAATTTCTGATATGTCATATTCACCGTCTGAATTACTGATGAGCAGGAAGCTAAGGTCGAAAATACCTGTTTCAAAGAAACTTTTGAATCCGAAAGTTGCAAAGAATGTTCACTCTCATTTGCATCAAAGACTGATGAAACAGAAGAAATTTCATGATAGATCTGCTAGGCAGATGAAAGAATTACAAAATCAAGATGTTGTAAGAATCAGACGTGATGGTGAATGGATTTCTGCAATTGTGGTTGGTAAACATAATACACCCAGATCATATTATGTTGAGACTCCTGATGGTTCAAGATATAGAAGGAATCGATATCATCTTTTGAAAACAAAAGAAGATATACCTACATATACTGGTCCGATGATTGACTCAACTTATGATCATGAAGAAAATGAGAATGTTCAAGTACCACAAAGACAATTAAGAAGATCTAGGAGGAATAGAAGAAGACCTCGTCGTTTTATTGAAGAATATTAATATGCTTATTATTTGATGATTGTCCCTTTAAAACGCTTTCTGTCATGCTTCATTCTCAACTTTGAATCTAGTTCTGAGTGATGCATGATATGTCTTTAATTTTCATTAACAAGGGGGATGTCATAAGTGATCATGTTAGGTCAAAGGTCACTGAAGATGACCTTCACGCTAGTGATGTTCTCTGTAGACATGCCGTGTACTGGTGTATTCTGTGTTTGTGTTGGGCTGTGTTGGTTGTATGTTAATCTGACTGTTTCTGTTGACTGAGGAGTCATCCGTGATAAATGCTTGCTGAATAATATATAAAGCCTCTTATATATGCCTTATGTGTTTGGCTAGACAACACATGACATGACAAGTGAAGAAAATAATAAACAATGAAATATTCACAAGAGAGATATGCGTATGGGAATTGTCATACAATAGGTATAATATTGTATTATTGTTATGCTCTAATGACTTTTCATGCGTGCCCTATTTTCTTTAAGTATGTTGTGGCGCATGAATATCTTGTTTACAAGGTGTCTTCATTTTCGCTGTTCTAGGAGTAACACGTAAATTTGATGCTGTGCTGTGTTAGAAGTAAATGTGAATACTTGAATATATGAGCTGATTGTTGGTGTGGATGGTTGGGAAGTAAGGTGCCTCAATAATAATAATTATAGTTGCCATCAACAAGGAGAACTATAACATGGTGTCAGAAGTGGGATTATAATTTACTTCCGTGAAAACCAACGCTGGATTAAAACTTCGTACGGTAAGCTTATTTTGCCTTAACAAAGCATAATGGCGGATAAATTTAAAACACCGGAGATGGACTGGACGAGTGCAGGCAATATGCATAAGCGGTTTAAGTTATTCAAACAGAAGTGCGACCTTATCTTCGACGGGCCACTTGCTGATAAACCGGAAGCCTACAAGGTGAGAATGTTATTACTCTGGATCAATGATAAAGGTCTTGAAATTTACAATACATCTGTTTGGACAGAGGAGGGTGATAACATGAAGTTGGCAAGAGTATTGGAAAGCTTGAAGCCTATACTAAACCGCAAAGTAACCAGATACTAGCTCGTTTTCAATTGCGAAGTTTGAAACAAGGTGACACATCTCTAGAAGAGTTTGTCACAAAAGCACGATCTCTCATTGATGAAAGTGGTTATGCTGCAACTGCAGTAGATGAAACACTACGAGATACATTGGTTTTTGGTTTAAAATCTGACAAAGTGCGTAAAGATGCAATTGCTTTGGGTAATATGTAACATTCAAACAAATTTATGATCTTGCTAAAAACAGAGGAAAGTACCAAAGCACAAATGGAGATTATTACAACAAATAACACAACCAATGATTTACATGCAATGAAGAGACAACCAGCATATAGAAAATCCAACAACAAGTCAGTGTTTCAAAGACACAGTAAGCCAAGCATGAAGGATGAAAATAAGTCCAGTGCAGATAGATGTCAAAATGCGGTGGAAGACACTACAGATATGATGATTGCCCTGCAGCAGGAGTACGATGTAATCACTGTGGGCGAATCGGGCACTTCAAAAGAGTTTGCCGCATAATGCAAAGAGAAAGACATAAGCTACACGAAGTAGTGGATAAATTTGATAGCCATTACATTGATGATGGTGGATCAAGCGAAGACGAAACAGGGAATATTGGGTGCATAAGCTCAAATAAGTTGCATAGACAACACAGTATAGTGAATGGTATGATTTCACGAAGCGGATCAGTCCCTGTCAAAGAGAAAATATTTGTCCGAGTGAAGTTGAATGACAAATTCAATGTAAAACTAAAAATTGATACAGGAGCAGATATATGTACAATCACGAGAGATGATTTACGACGCTTGGATATAAAGCTCCATGTAAAAGACAATAGCTGCATACTACATAAGTATGGCGGTGGAAGAATAAAAACATTTGGAAAAGCAAAGATAAAAGTTACTTTCAATGGAAAATCAATGTGGATTAATTTCATTATAGTTGAAGGTAATGGAAGCCCATCAGTTCTTGGATGCAAACAGTCGCAAGAATTGGGTGTAATAACAGTAAATATCCATGATATTGAGAGCGGAAAGAAGAAGAAAGTGAATCCGTGTAATACAGAAAATTCTTGTCAAGAAGCTGCTGAGAAAGGAATTCTCACGAAAAGTCAATTGCTTGATGAATATAAGGATTGTTTTGACAAGATTGGTCGTTTTCCACATGATAGATACCACATTCAGTTAAAAGATAATGCACAACCAGTTGTACATCCACCTCGAACAGTGCCTGTACACATTTTACCTTTGTACAAAAAGGAGTTGGAAAATATGATTGCAAATGATGTGGTAGAACCAGTTACACAGCCTACTGACTGGGTAAACTCAATTGTGTGCAACGTCACAAAGACAAGTGATGGAAAACAAAAGGTACGCCTATGCTTAGACCCAAAGGACCTAAATAAAAATATAAAGAGGGAACATTATTACAGTCGAACAATCGATGAAATCTTGCCAAAATTGCATGCGAAGAAATATTTCTCTGTTGTCGATACAAAAAAGGGATTTTGGCATGTAGAGCTAGACGACGCGTCAAGTCTACTATGCACATTCAATACACCTTTTGGAGGACATAGATTTAAGCGACTCGCATTTGGCACATGTGTTTCCCAGGATATATTCCAGAAGAAGCTGGATGATATATTTCAAAATATCCCCAATGTGACTGGTATAGCCGACGATATAATCGTGTATGGTGAAACACCAGAAGAACATGACAAATCATTCATAAAAATGTTGAATGAATGCAGAAAAAATAATATTGGACTGAATAGTGAGAAATTGCAGTTCAAGCAGAGAAAAGTTGAGTTCTATGGACATTCCTTGTCAGATAAAGGAATACAACCATCTGAGGATAAATTGAGAGTGATAAAGAATATAAAATCACCGGAAAATGCAAAGGAATTGCTCACCATTCTCGGAATGATAACATATCTCAACAGATTTTCAACGAAAATTGCAGAATTATCAGCACCGCTGAGAAGATTGACAAAGAAAAGTGTACAATTTGTTTGGGAGTCTGAACATCAACATGGTTTAGATAGAATAAAAGCTGAACTTTGTACAGTGAGAATTTTATCATATTATGACCCTAACCCAAACACAACTACAATTTTGCAATGTGATGCAAGTTTAAAAGGTCTTGGGGCCTGGATTAGACAAATTGATTGCAATGGTGAAGAAAATATAGTTGCAATGGGATCAAGAGCACTCACAGATGCTGAAAGCAGATATTCTAACATAGAAAGAGAATGTTTAGCAGTAGCTTATGGTCTGGAGAAATTTGAATATTATCTATATGGACGTCATGTAATTGTTGAAACAGATCACTCTCCACTAGAACAAATATTCAAGAAAAATATTGTTGACGCTCCAGCAAGACTGCAACGGTTATTGCTAAAATGTTTAAAATTTGATGTCACAGTCAAGTACAAGCAAGGAATAAAAATACCTGTCGCTGATGCGTTGTCAAGAGTAATTGAAAATGAAAAAGAGAAGAATAGCGAACAATATAAAATACACTTCATGGCAAGTGAAGCACCACCAATAAATTTGGAAGTTATAAAACAAGCGACAGATGAAGACATAGTATGTAACAAGTTGAGAGAAATTATTTACAAAGGTTGGCCTGATCAAAGAAAACAATGTCCACAAGAGTTATGGGACTATTGGAACTTTCGATGTGATTTAGTTCTTGAAAATGGCCTCATTGTCAAAGGAAATCGAATAGTTGTACCTAGCAAACTAAGGTCACAAGTTTTGAATGCTCTTCACAGTGGACATCAAGGTGAAACTAAATGTTTATTGCTGGCAAGACAATCAGTGTTTTGGCCTGGAATTACAAAAAATGTAACTGACATGGTAAAGAGTTGTGAGTTATGTAACAAATATCATTCTGCTCAAGCAAAAATGCCAATGATGAAACCTGATTTACCTTCAAGGCCATGGGAAAAACTTGGAACAGATATTTTTGAGTTCCAAGGCAAGAAGTATTTAATGATTGTGGATTACTTTTCAAGATTTCCAGTTGTGAGAAAACTGCAAGATATGACAGCTGAATCAGTATGTGAACAATTTTCAAATGTACTTGCAGAATATGGTTTATGTTCCACAGTACTAGCAGATTTTGGATCTCAATATGTGAGTCAATTGTTCAGAGGAAAATGTGATGCTAATGGAATTACAATGACCTTCAGTTCACCTTATCATCACCAAGCAAATAGTCTCGCAGAAAGAGCTATTGGCACTTGTAAATCATTATGGAAAAAAGCCAAAGAAGAGGGGAAATCTCTGGAATCAAGCTTATGGATTTATCGAGTCACACCACTTGATTATCAAACACCATCACCATTTGAATTGTTATTTGGTAGAAGACCAAGAACATTTATGCCTATGAATGAACGGTCTTTACAATCGAAAAGTACAGAGCTTGAAAAGCAGCAAGAGATTAATGAAAATAAACAGGTGAAACAAAAAGAATTTTATGATCGAAAAGCTTCCATTGACAGAAGACCACTGTCGAAAAATGAAGATGTATATGTGTGGAATGATCTTAGAAGAATATGGGAGCCAGGAAAAATTGAAAATATACCAAATCCTGTTAGAGAGCCAAGAACCTACACAGTTCTATTGAATTCGAAATTATATAGGAGAACTCGTGAACACCTAAAACCAAGAATTGCTGCAAATAAGTCAAAGTATAATGAAAAGAAATTTGAATTGAAACCATTTTATTATACACAAGCTCCAGTGATTGATAATAATCTAAAGAACAGTACAACTCCTGAAGAAGTACAAAATCAGGAAAAAGAAATAAAGGCAGAAGAGACACATAAAGAACCTCAACCTACAATGGATAGAAATACTGGATTTATACCAAAAGCTCAGACAACCAAGTCAGGAAGAACTACACAAGTTCCAGCCAAGTTTAGGGATTAGAGTGTACCCCTTTTATGTGCATATAATGGTTCTTTTTTATTTATCGAAAAAAGGGGGATGTCATACAATAGGTATAATATTGTATTATTGTTATGCTCTAATGACTTTTCATGCGTGCCCTATTTTCTTTAAGTATGTTGTGGCGCATGAATATCTTGTTTACAAGGTGTCTTCATTTTCGCTGTTCTAGGAGTAACACGTAAATTTGATGCTGTGCTGTGTTAGAAGTAAATGTGAATACTTGAATATATGAGCTGATTGTTGGTGTGGATGGTTGGGAAGTAAGGTGCCTCAATAATAATAATTATAGTTGCCATCAACAAGGAGAACTATAACAGGAATTAAAATGGATACAGCTGAGCTGTAGAATAACATGGATCGATGCAGGAGGCAATTTATATTGGAAGCTATGCTAGACACTTCACAGATAACAGTCAAGCTACTGGAAACTATAAGCCTCCAGGTATTGGTTTTTCAATGAATATTTAAAATATTTATAATTTCTGGTCCGAATACTGCCAGGGAGTGAGTTCCATAACTTTACCCCAATAAACTTGATTGAGTGTTGAGTTAGTTTGGTAGAAAAACGGTTCACAAAATACGAGCACTTGCTAGAGGAACGAGTTCCATATGAGTGAACATAACTCTGTTTCAAAAAATAGTTGGTGAATACAGGGGGAAGTTTTTTGTTATGATGTTGGTGCATTATTTTTAAGATTTCTATTTTGTGCAAATCGACCATTTTAATTATACGAAGACTGTAGTAAAAAAGAGTTAAATGGGTGCGAAAACCGACATTGGAAATAGCGCGAATTGCTCGATTCTGGATAATTTTAATGTGATGCAATAAATTTTTATCGGTCGACCCCCACGCAGCAATACCATACTGAATATGGGACTGAACTAAAGAGAAGTAAATCATGCGTAATGTTGTTAATGATACAAAATGCCGAAGTTTATATAATATCCCAACTGATTTAGATAGTTTAACAGCCAGGTTAGAAATTTGAACATCCCACCTCATTTTGTTGTCTAGATATACATCAAGATACTTATAGCTATGGACATTTTCAAGTTCTACATCATCAATTTGGACTACTAAACCCTGTTGAGCTTTATTTTTGTGTGGTGATATTAACATAGTGTTTGATTTATCAGTGTTTATTGTGAGTTTTTGGCCTTCATCCAATTAGCTACTTTTGCAATTTCAGTGTTCACTTTAACTTGAAGGGCTGCTGGAGATTTGTTGCTGTCGAGGAGAGTGATATCGTCGGCAAACAATTTGGAAAATAATGAAGAAGAATGTGATATGTCATTGATGAATACTAAAAATAGAAATGGACTCAAACAGCTACCTTGTGGGACCCCGTGGGTCACTGGTAAGACTGGAGAACAATTTGTTCCCACTTGAACATACTGTAACCTTCCGCTTAAGTAACTAGAAATGAGTTTATTTGCAAGCCCTCTAACACCATAATGACTCAACTTGTAAATCAGGATATCATGGTTAACTGTGTCAAAAGCTTTCTTTAAATCTAAAAAAGTGGCACTAACAAACTCTTTTTTTTCTAGTTTATCATAGATAAATGATATAGTATCTAAAATGGCATGAGATGTAGAGTGACTGTTTTGGAAGCCGAATTGAGATTTATTTATGACATCGTATTTTGTAAAAAACTACTAAGCCTTTTATAAATCAAGCGTTCAAAAATTTTATCTATCGATAAAAGGATTGTTATCGGTCTATAATTTGAAACGAGTTTTTTGTTTCCAGATTTAAAGAGAGGAATTACACGAGCAATTTTCAGAGATGAGGGGAATATGCCGAGTGACAACGAGAAATTGAAGAACTCTGACACGCATGGAGCAATGAGGTCAGCAACATTCTTTAGGAAACGTGCTGTATTGTCTGGCCCAACGGCTTTCCTCATCTTGAGGTTCCGAATTTCTACCAGCAATTCATTCGGCGTAGCCAAACTCATAAATATGGACTGACTCACACGGTTGCGAAGAAAATGTTTGAAGTTACCCGAATCGTTAGAAAAATTCTCTGAGAGGCTGGCCCCAATAGTTGAGAAGTACTCGTTAAATTCACTCGATATCAAAAAGCCAACCCTGGTGAATATAGGGCAGAGAATATAGGGCAGATTGTAGCGCATATTTCTTGTAGTGAAAGCGTATTTTTTGTAAAACGTTCAACTTTTGGAAATGATAACAATGTATTATTTGGTACTAAATTTCTTAGGAACATTTTAAAATTATTTCCAGGTAATCCCTCATGTGCGCTACGAAACTCATTTTCTAGGCGTTTTTCAGGGACTCGTCTGACGGCCTAAGTGGAATTCTTCACGATACACGTATTTTTAAAAAGTAAATTCTGCAGTAATCGTATGGTAATTAGTTTTGGTGATAACGTTTCGCGAGGTGGCGCCTAAAAACTGGTTTATATGTTTCAAGCCATCATTATGATTGAAAACAATCAACAACCTTCATAAGTACTATTAGAGGATCAACTGTAGAATCTCCCCTGGAACCGCCTGGGGAGGAAATTCTTCAGTTGGACTCACCTAGGGGGGAGGGGAATCTTCAGTTGGTCCTAGCTGGGGTGGAGATTCTTCAGTTAATCCCGTTTCCCAATAGAAGAATGTCCCTTCCCACAACCCACCTAAGCCGATAATACCAGTTGATCCTTTATTTGAACTAGTAAATACCAGTTGCTCCTTCATTTGACCTGGACTAATTATTTGGTAGAGTTAGAGTTGGTCTTAGTTGGGGTGGAGATTCCACAGTTGGGTACCCTGGAGGGGAGATTTTTCAGTTGATGCACATTAGAAAAGTTCAGCCTAGTTCATCAGAGATATTTCTAGACTAATTCTCCTAACTAAAAACTGACGAATAGCATTCAAAAAACGCGAAAACGAAGTGATTTTTGTCGCTCCAAAATTATGTGTACGAACATGGAGGTAACTAATTTTGTTCGCCTACTTTACATCAAGTTGTGTAAATGAACGGAAGACTATAGGCAGGGGGTGTAGTCACTTGGCGAACACAGACTATCCCCGAACTCGTGATAGAACTAAAATAAGGAAAATCGGAATAAAATTGTGGCCTAACGCCTAACCTGGTACACATACTACGCGACGGAGAACTAGAATTAAATGCCAAAGCCAGAGGTTAAAATGTGCGACGAATACAAGTTCTGGAACGAGTTCTCATTCTACTACGCCATCAAAGGCCGTTTCCGAACTGCGGCCGAATTTCGTTGCAGCAGGTTTCAAAACAACCTTATTTCAATTTTTTTCAGTAGAACTAGTGTTATTTCCTAAATATGGCCCAAATATTTTAATCTCCTTTTTTGGACTTTAATACCTTTGTATTCTGGGACCCTATTCCGGTCTATTGCACTTCCGCACAATAAAAGTTTACACTTTTGTTTGTTAATTCTTATTCCTGTCCCCACTTCAAAGCGTTCTAACGATGTAGGATTTTCATCAATAGAGGCCAAATTTATTACTGTCAAAGTTGTGTTCTATTCGTAACCTTTATAAATCTCAATATCCTCACTACGATTCTGTATTCCTAAAATATTTTTATTAGATCCAATATTGGTTGCTAAAAGCTCAGCTTTGAACAGATGTAAATGTGGTGCTAATGGACATACTTGTCTCACTCCCCTTGTTAACAGAAGCTCCTTTAATAAGTATCCATTCGTGATAATTTTTGAATGGGTGGCAAAGTTTGAATCTGTTTTAAAATATATTTGCCGAAGCCTAATTTTTGCAAAAGCAGAATCACTACTTCGCGATCGACAATGTTATACGCTTCCTCTTGGTAAATTGAAAATATAAGAGAAGGAATGTTTTGTTGGTTGGCCCAAAAAGACGTAATCTCGAAAACCTAATAAACTTTCATGAATTACCCTTTCAAAAATAAATTCAGTTTGGTCTTGCCCAATTAGTTCAGGTAATACATTTCTCAACCTATTTGCTATATTATAATAATTTTGCTATAAGTTTATATACAAAGTTCAACCAGCAAGTCAGTTTATTAGCTCATTATTGTCTCCACTTTCATATAATGGAGATATGGCATCTAATACTTAACCACGTGGCATTTACCTGTATCACGAAAGCTTTATAAAGATTAAGTTGAATTGGTTTAAGTAACTTTCAAAACTTTTAATTTAAAAATGAATTTCTATTAGAGAGTAAACCAAAGTACCATTTTGCTTTCTCAGAACTCTAAACATACGTGCCTTTTCGTTTGACTTTTCTAATTTAGAATGCACTTGGTTGATTTTGCACCTTCTTCTGCCAACGATATTCGCGACCTTATAATTGTGCTATTGGATTTAGTTCTATAATGCTTTTAAGTTTGTTTCTTTAGATCCGGTACCTTTATCTTCAACCTGCCCTACATTTTATTGTATGCTACCCTTTATTTGGTTAACAGTTCATGCTCTAGTTCAGGGGTGCACGACACGGGGCACGCGTGCCAAATTTGGCACGCCATGCGCTCAAACGTGGCACGCGAACGGTTTTGTGAAAATTTTAGTTTATTTATGATAAACATCATTGTGATACATTATGGACGTGAATGGATTTGTGAAATGAATCTAATTCTATTATTTTTTTTGTGCTTAAAAGCATGTATTATCTTTTGTGTATTTTTATCCTATACAACACTGGGCACGCGTGACAAATTTGGCACGCCATGCGCTCAAACGTGGCACGCGGACGGTTTTGTAAAAATTTTAGTTTATTTATAATAAACATCAAAATATCACCATTATATCGAAAGAAACTTTAATGATCATGTTTATCCACACATTGCTAGCTCGTGGCCTGTTTAAGAAGGTAGTTGCTGAAAATAAGTAACACCTAAATTCGCACTGATTGCAGCAATGAGTAAAATCATTCGCTGCAAAAGAAAAGAAAATTAGACTCGTGGATTTCAAGACTCTTGGACAAGCGAATATCTCTTTATCGAATATATATATAAACAGAAGCCCATATTCTTGGTTTGTGGCACAACTCTTTCTATTTTAAAAGCCTTCAATGTGAAGAGACACCATAACGCACTACATCAACACAAATATGATAAAAACTGTCGGAAAGCCGAGAGAAAGTTTGGTGTTGAAACTATAAAATTCTCTGGGAGTGCAACAGGACAGGACGTATTTAAAAAGCCCATCGGAGAAAATGGAAACGCCATCGCTGCATCTTATGTTTTAGCAGAAAAAGTTCCAGGCAGTTCCAACAGAAAAAGCTACTCCAGACTATCCACAGATGGCGAGTTTGCTCGAGAATCAGCCTTTCGAAAACTACCATTCCTAGAAAAAGCTAAAGAAATTGGCGAAATCTTAATTCAATTCAATTCGTTTATTACTCCAGACCGCTGCGGTCCATATAAAAATAACACAAACAAATAAACATGAGCGAAAATACTTGATACGACAATCAGATGAGCAACTGCAATCGAAAGTAGACGTTCGAATATTTTCCACTGGCTTTTGATAAAAGCTGTGATATGAGTGATACTGAGCAATTATCGGTCCGCGCTGTAGCAAAAGACCTATCTGTTTATGAAGATCTTGTTAGACTTCTTCCTCTTTATGGCACAAGACGTGGGGTAGATATAAAAGAAGCTGTGTTAAATGCGTTTCACTATAAAATTAGTTGGATTGACGACGGGGCAGCTTCTATGACTGGTAAAGAAAACGGTGCCGTGGCGCTATTGAAAAAGTACTTGCAAGAATCTGATTTTACTCAGGATATTATTACTTTTCACTGCTCCATTCATCAAGAGTCTCTTTGTGCTCAAAGTATAAAGATGACCCATGCTATGGACGTTATTGTAACTAAAATGTGTGAATAAAATTCTTTCGGAAGGATTGAAGCACCGCCAATTTCGAGCATTCTTGTTGGAGATGAAAACACAATACAAGGACTTAGTGCAAAGTTCGCTGGTTAAGTCGATGGAAAGTTTTGCAGCACTTTCTCAGCCTTTTTGAAGAAATTGAAATATTTTTACAGGAAAAGAGTTCAACACTGAAGACCAAAAATGGGGAAGATGTTTTGACGCACTCATGTGCCAATACTCGGTTGCTGGTTATTACGCTTTTGATAGATATTACACAGCATATGTACAACCTATGTATCAGAATGCAACGATCAATTGGCAACATGATCCAGTTTAAAACTTTGTCTTTGTTTTTGGAAAAAAAAAGGCAAACTTGGTTTCTGACTTTGAGAAGTATGCCATAATGTGCGGTGACCTTCGTCAAATCTTTTCAAAACGCTTTCAAGATTTTAATGACCGGAAGGCGCTAATGAATTTATTTTAAAGACCATTGAGTGTGGATGTTGAATATTGAACTTCTGGATTCGAGGTCAAACCAAGTTTTGCAGGTTGTTTTTCAACAAAATTCAATACTTGAGTTCTACTCTCGCCACGAAGAAGAGAATTATCCAGTTTTGTTGAGAAATTCAAAAGTCTGGATTTGTTAATTTGCAAGCACGTACAGTTGTTAAAAGGCATTCTCAATCATGAAAATAAACAAATTCTAACTACGGACTCGTTTACTGGGTGTGCATATAGATTCAGTGATGCGAATCGCTATTTCTCACTTGAAGCCCAACATTTCAAACTTGGTACAACAAAAACGTCTTCAAATCAGCGGTTTTTCAGGGGCTTAAATCGTTTAAATAAATAGATATTCGTTATTATGTATTATTATTGAAGTTTGTTTGATATATGTTATACGGGAATTCGTTTACAATACCAACAATTGTGCGTGGCCCGCGACAAGATTATTTTAAAAAATTTGGCACATATCCTCATTTGAGTTGTGCACCACTGCTCTAGTTCATTATTCTATTGGCGCCTCACTTTTGAACAGTGAATTTCCCTTGTTTTATCTTTATTTTTACAAAGATCCTGATAGGAGACCCTTTATTCTATAGTATTTTCCATTCAAATGCCACTTCTTTAAAATTGCTATAATCCTTTGAAAAATTTGTCAAGTTTGTTTAGTTCCAAAATATACTTTTTTCAATAACCAAGGCCATGTTGCATGTTAGTTAAGGCAATGAGCTTTAATAGAATGAGTGGAAACTTCCAAATATTTGCTCATTAATCCATTATGACCTGCATTTTTTACGTCGTCCAGCTAAATGGTTCGTTGCATATGGAGAAAGTATATCGCTCGCTGCAATAATCCCTTGCTTCGGCCGCGCCAGTTGCGAAATTGGCCGTATTGAGGCTTTTAATTTTTCGATTCGTGTTCGGTTTTGGGTTTCGAAGTATGGTA